CAACTTGGACGATAAGCGAAATGAGAGATTCCAAGCCATAAGTCGATGCAAATCGATACAAATTCCAAAATTATAGCCCAAAAACTGTTAGAAATCGCATGGAAAACAGTATTTTAGCGATAACTCAAGAACCAATGTGGCGGCCGGGTATAACTCAGGATTGTGGTTTTTAAAAAGTCTGATGCAAACTCTGGTCCAATTTTTGGAAACTATCCGATGTGACACGGCGAAATGCCGGAGGGGTGCTTTTTTGGCCACCCTGTGGTTTTGTGAACATCGTCCGAAGCTAAAAAGCGGTGTTTTTTGCTTTTTAGTACGTGGCCGGCCCGCTTGGGATCGTGTCGATGGATGCTGGAGATAGGCGACATCGAATCTTTCCGAAGGTCACCAGAGATGCTTGAATTGACTGGCGTGAGAAGCTCCAGCCAGTGGGTGTTTCCTGAGTGGCTACAGACGGGCAACCCTTAGATACATCTATGTAATGTGGTCCACATTCTGTCTACACAGCGGGTTCGACCGGAGTTCTTATCCACACTCGCTGGCCCAAAACAGTTCCCCCTTGCTAGCCCTTCGCGTTCATGCGTATTGACGCGGAGAGGACTGCATGCATTGCCGATTTTTCAAAACTCGCGCTGTTTCCGACATCCAATTTAATTTTTTGTAAAAATCTCGGCCACCCCAAATTGATAGAAAAAAAAAACCGCCGGAAGTGGCGGAAATTATGAAAGGAGAAGAATATCATCGGACCAGACGGGCCTAGGGTTTGAAAGTCGCGAAACGTGAGAAACACTGGACCCATTTATCTCGATAATAAAGATGCTCGCCTGTCGTCGCGACGAGAGCTTAAATTATCCTAAAACTTCGTGTATAGTTCCGAGGGAAAATGCGAATCTTCCGTAATTCCGTATGACCATAAACTGGTGTGTTTCATTTTTTCGGGTTTTTGCAAATATCCGCTTGGCAAGTGGACATTAGCGATTTCGTTTGAATTATTGATCGCATTTCGACTATTTCCAATATTTTAAGTGGTTTAATGAAAGAAATTGATGGTGGGGGTCCTGAGAATCATCTCTTTAGCCTTATAGCTTTGCGGCAAATTGCCCCCTACGCACACTATTTGGTGCCAGTTGTATTCGTACGTAACCAAATTGTACCGGAACTATACACGAGGTTTTAGGGTACATATCCTTGTCGAATGTCGAATGGTATATTTAGGCATCTAGCCCGCTACGAACGTGCTTATGCATTTTATGAGAGCCCTCCTGAACGACCCAATGTTGAGCCAGGACCGTACAAGTCGATTATCTGTGTGAACCTGGAGCGTGAGGCATTCATCCTCGCCCGGGAGGATGGACTCCTAGAATACGCTCTCCTCGGAGATATTGGTAACCCAAAAGGTTGGGGCTCGCAGTGGCAACCTTTACGGCACTTTAGGACCCCAACTTGAACTCGTCGTCCCGCGAACGGCGTGGGCTTTCAAAACCCGGCAGCGCCGGAGTTCCGAAGTTTTCGATACCATATTTCGATGCCGATGAGAATGGGGCACGGTGAGGCAATAGTTTGAGCGGTTCTCACTCTTGTCAAACTGGGCTTCTTTTTGGTTTGGCACTACCTAGCTGCCTCAAATTACCAGAACCGAAGCACACATACAAATTTTTGCGATTTTTGAGCTATTTTAAAACGCCAGGCGATAGAACGTCAAAATATAGGTAAGCGATCATTATTTTCGGCACGAAAAATATAATATAAACGCTCGATATCGCATAAAAACTATAGTTGAAAGCGATGAGCAGCTACGGGGCGGACTCTCTACGTTCTCTAACTCCTTCGATGTTTTGAAAATGCCATTCGATAGAGGGCCAAGAAATCGTAACAAAACCCTGGGGAGTACAGTAACGGACAAAAGTAATCACCCCCATTTTTGGACCTACTAAGCCGATTTCTGAAAATCCCAGCCTGGAAAACAATATTTAATTGATAACTTACTAGATGTGTAAATTACATGTTGATTCCGAATTGATAATCCGAAAAGCGCGGAAATTTAATTGAGGGCGAAAATCGTGGTTTACTTTTTACCTCAAAACACGGCCGTAAAAACCCACCTTTTTGTGTGGGGTTCTCGAGGTGCGCCATTATGATATCCGTAACCTTCGATATCACCAGCCGGAATAAGTGTTTTCCGGACTCTTATGGGGTGTCTAGATACCATTTCCGGAAATCGGCCAGTTAGCCTTCAATGGGCCTTTAAAAGCTATTTTCGGCGAGTTCAAGAGCGGATCCAGAAACTAGAAGGTGCGACTACATCGGAAATAATGTGTTTCTAATGCGAAGAAAACAAAATGATTTTTCTAGAAGCATTTGTTTAGAAAGCGCCACCGCGAAAAGTCAGGTCGAGGAAAGGAGGGCTCGAAATAGGTCAAAAACGATTTTTCCGAGAGTTCTCTTCTATCACATCGGAAAGAGCACTATCGAATGTGTAAGAAAACATTTTGCAAAGAGCAATTTAGTCTCAACTATTCCTGATGATCGAATAGAAAGCAACCAAAAGCCCAAAAACCCAAAAATGCTAACTCCTTAACCTTCATTTTCGAAATGTTTCGTTAGAAATTCGGAATCTACGCTATCGAATTACCCTAATAAAGTTTGTTACAAATTTTTTCGCGATTCTAAAAGCCTCGAAAATTAAGAATAAAAATTGTCGTCGACCACCGAAAAAATGCTGTTCCACGCTGCTGCGATTTCGCTTAACAAAATGGCCAAAAATGAAATTCACGATTTAGCGTTATAAACAAGGTTTTCTTACACATTCGTTAGTGCTCTTTACGATGTGATTGAAAAGAAGTTGACGAAAAAATTTTTTTGACCTGTTTCGAGCCCTCCTTTCCACAACTCGACTTTTCGCCGTTGCGCTTTCTAAACACATAGCTTCCAGAAAATCAGCTCGGTTCCTGCGCATTGGCAACATGACAATCCTGATGTAATCGACCCTGTAGATTCTGGATCCGCTATTGAAATACGCGGAAAATCCGCTTTAAAGGCCTGTTGAAGGCTAACTGGTCGATTTCCGGAAATGATATCTAGACACCCCATAAAAGTCCGGAAAACACTTATTCCGGCTAATTTGATATCGAAGATTACGAATATCATAATGGCGCACCTCGAAAACCCCACACAAAAAAGTTAGTTTTGACCGTGTGTTGAGGTAAAAAAGTAAATCGCGATTTTCGCCCTAAAATCAAAATTTCTGCGCTCGGAGCATCAAATCTCCGGAATCAGCATGTAATTTTACATCTAGTAAGCTGTCACGAAGTATCCAGCCAGGGATTTTCCGGAAATCGGCCTAGAAGGTCCAAAAATGGGGGGGGGGTGATTTACTTTTGTCCGTTACTGTATTTTGGTCTTTCGGGGCGTTTTGGCAAAAGTAGCTTGTCCACCATCTCGTTCGAAATTTTTTTCTCTATCGAATGAGATAGCTAAGTCAAAATTTAGAATCATTATTGGGCTACCCCTGTGCGCTCCACCCCCACGCCGAAACGCGCGCGACCTGGCTCATTATGTCCAAAATCATGCCACAGTCCGCTCCCCCTCCCCATCACTAAGGAAAAAACTTTCAAAGCTAATTTTAATAACTTAAACGGCATTTTTCATATTTTATCAGTTTGGGGTTTCTGACCGGCTCGATCCAAACTGAAGCAGACCAACAACAAGCTCTAGCTCCATTCCCCTTCGACCTGAATCCGGGACATGACGGAGTTAGCCCAAATTATAGTAGATAGCCCAAAAAACGTTATTTAAAACCATTTTTCTTCTAAAAACTTCGACTCCCCAGAATTCTAAGTATACCAACAACTGTGCTAAACTTCAACGAAAACAAAACTTTTCCCTTTTAGCGACGTGCTGTCCTGAAAACGCACATCTTCGTGGAATGCGCCCGAGTTGGTTGTGGGCTGCATATGCAGCAAGGTTACGGGCTCTCGGGACGGAGCACCTTTTGTGCACATCTTCAGTTTCGCTACCTGAGCCCGGCCAAGAAGCTCGAAACATTCAATGTGGCGCTACCGGGGGCCCCTAAACGGCGAAAAAATGTGAGGGGGAAATCGCGTGAAGCATTCCGGTACCAAGCTTTTTAGCCTACCGAAGCCGGAGCTGGTGAAATCGGCGTATATGCTTGTGTCCAATCGGTCGCCCGTGGCCATTGGCGTTCACGTAAGACGCCCCTTTTCTCGACAGTCCATTTCCCAGGAACCTCATCGTCTACGAAAAAAGCAAGGATGAGTTCAGCGTAATTTCCGTTGACTCTTTTGTGGCAGATCGCAGGTGGTTAGACTCGTATCTTGACACGTATCAGCTTGGAACGAAAGATTGGTCGCCGAAATTTTGGAAGACTGGCTAAAATCGTGGACAGTTCGATTCTGCACATGTGACATGTCATTTTATGGCTCTCGGCCTGATTAGTTTAGGGAGGAGGGTCCTGGCCCTCGAAAATCAAGGCAGGCCCCCTGCATACAGTGATTTGTATGCGATACGTTTAACCCCAATCGATAGATCCATAAATGCTGAGATCATTAAGATTAGAACCGGGATCACTGAGGTAAGGGTCCTTGAAGTCTGGCCCATCTCCTACAATTTGTCCCGAAATACCATACAGACCGATACCGGCAGCCGCCGAAAACAGTCGCGCTTTGGACCGGCCAACGATTTAATCAACTGTAAGGAAATGTTCTAAGACCAAATTTCATGGCCTATAAAATGGCCATCTGCATCTGTTGAATTTCGATCCAATTAACATCTATCGATATTATACTCCTAGAGGGCTTTCGATTGGGGGTGAAAGGTGTCAGTTCGTAAATATTTACGCAGAGCAACTTACAAAAACATTTTTTGGAAATCTTGGAAAAGCTTCTCGAGCTTGAGCTCGATCTGCGTCTCCTTGGTTTTGGCGTTTAGGATCCACTCCCCCCCCAAGAAACGATTCAGGTTATGCTACAAATGACATGTCGCATGTGGAGAATGGAGCTATCTACGATGTTAGCCAGCCTTCCAAAATATCGTAGACAAGACTTACTTCCTACCTGATAGTAATTCGAATATTGTATAAGAGGGGGGCTGGGAAGCGGGGCCGATATTTTTTTGACTTGATCTCGAAAATGGGGGTAAAATGATCGGTTTTGACCAAAAATCAATTTTTTTCACTATAGGAAGCTTAAAATCACTCAAAATTGCAGTGTCAAACCTAAACTTCGTCTTTTTTTGCGGTTTTTGTTGGCCCGTGAGTGCATATCTTTTTTTGGAGTAAAACTCTTTTCCGGGGAGTTGGATGTAAGGGAGCTCTGTTCTTTCAATCAACCCGGGGGATCACGGGGGAATAGAGGGGGGCGGGGGGGATTAGAGGGAATACGGTAATCGTTAATCTTTTGCACCATTTGCAGCGAGCATGAATATGTACCTAAATATCGCAGCCGGAAAATAGTCGACATGCATTTTTGCAAGGATCGGCGTGAGCTTTTGGTGTTGATGGAGAATGCGCACATCGTGTGTTTTCAATGGGTGACCGGGAAAGGTAGGCGGATGCTAAATTCCATAGCCCCCACGATGCCGAAGCCGCCAAAGACGTTTTTGCAGACCAATTCAAGCTACATGAAATACGGCGGATGAGTCTTCCCGGGATGCAAATAGCCCGATCTTTACATTTGAACCGGCAGAACGGGCTCGATGATCCTATCGTGAGCAACTATCGATTTTCTTGAATTTGAAAAATTTAGGTCTTCGGCTTTCGGATGCGTAGCGATAATGCACGATTCAATCGATTTGTAAGTTTTTGGGATTTGTGGAGAGCTTTTCGAGCTTTGCTCCGCGGGAGGGTGACGATTTGGTGACGCGAGCTTAGTGGCTTGTCTTTTGCGGCGTAAATCTAGACACAGTTTAAGCCAACTGGAAAAAATTCTAATTAGTTTTATAGTAAAAGCTTCAGACAGCCGGGGCTGCCTTTGTAAAAATTTTCCCGCAACTTACGGAGATGTTTTTGAGTGTCGTACGGACTTTGGGATGGGATCGAGCCTATCTTGGGCAGAATTTTGCGCTGCTACCGAAGCCGGCTACCGTTTTTGTGGAATAACCAGTGCTCGAAAGTTACAAATACATCTGAAAGCGCGCGAATCTACATTTAGGCCCTTACTCCGGTGGCCTACGATATTACGTCAAAATCACTTGTGATGGAATGGGGCCAGGACGCAACCTACATGCTGGACTTGCCGCGCGACCATTATTCCGTGTAGGTGCCTGAGACCATTTAGTAGCCCTCGGTATTTCTAGGGACATCAGCGATTCGGTGGGGATTCTCATCGATTTTGAGGAGCCGACGGCAACGAAAGGAGTTGGTCACTGATCTGTTTTGAGAGCCGCTTTCTTCTATAGCTTCGCATCCACCTGGGAAAGGAGCACGTTGGTTGCGTGCTGCCACCCCTCATCCCACACGACATTCGCAAAATGGTGGCCGCCCCGGTTGATGAGCTGGGGTTGAGTTTGGTGGGCTTTAGACTCAAAGAAAAAGTCGCCTCCCACCTTGATAAAATCGGTTTACGATATACCATGGCGAGGTTTTTAGAAGCCGGTCCGTCATAAGCTTCCTTACAAGCAGCGGGTTTTAGGTGATCTTATAATTTTGCAATGTGACGCATAGTTCATTCGATAGAGCTTGAAATTCTGAACCAATCGCATTTTTCAAAAACTGCCAAATGGCGACGGTTTTCGAAAAAATTCGCTCGGAAATAGCCGAATTTGAGCATTTTTTGAGCCCCGCGTAACAAAATCCGAACTTTGAGAAACTTATTTGAATCTATCGAATGATCTCTGTCAAATTTCAAAATTCCAAGCATCTAAAAACCACTTCTTGTTAGTGCATGAAAGGCGGGGGTCCCCCGAAAGCCTTGGAAACGCGCGTGCTGAGTAGACCGATGTTTTAAAAGTTCTATTGTATAAGCTGGCGACTCCGTAAATTCCAAAAAAATTACAATGTTCAGATTGCGGCCATCGGCCAAGGCGTCACTTTAATGATCTACCAACCGGAAACAGGTGACCAATTTTGACACCCAGAGACTTCCGGGTTTCAGAGACTCTGATTAAGGTCAACGAACACTTCCCGCGAGATCATTGCACTGATGTGGGATTCGGTAAGGTGGGTTTGTTGCCCCGCCCGATTCCTTGAACGAAATCAGGACTGACAAATGTCTATAGGTCAACAAGGTCAAGATCAAGAAGGTCGTCTGCCTACGCGTATTGTTATTCGTGGCCACGGACAGCGAGATTGAAGTGTTGCAGTTCATCGTGAAAGGCGATTCGGAATGTAGGTTGTTGGGTCTTTCAGCGATATTTTCATTCCGCATGGTGCTGCTGGGATGTAGAGTATGCCATTTTTCGGATGACTTGAAAAGGATACGCTTGCGAGCGTACTTTTTCTAATCGACTGGCCAGGTTGGAGCCATCGGTTGAGGGAGACTATTCGGCCGGAAGCACCGATCGAGCACCGATTCGACTTCTGGGTGGGATCGCGAGTACGGCAGATTTACATCCCCGATCGGGTAGTTCCTTTCCAGTTTTTCGACTTTCAGTTTTTTGCAGGATGGTCCCGAGGACGAGTGCGTATTATACTTTATTTTGGATGCGACGCCTGATAGCACGACGATAAAAGTTGGGTAGGTTTTTAAGCTGCTAAATTCAATGTAGCCAAGAAAAAGAATGCTAAATACCATAAGCCGGTGATTCCAGGATGGTAATCTTCCGCTCCGAGTCGATTACCACGTTGCCGAAATCGCAACCGTTCCTAGTGGCCACCTGTAAAGACATCTTTATGCCGTACCAGCAATTCAAGGTATAATAGAGTAAAAACCAGCATGATGTTTAGATGACGTCAAAAACAACGACCTCTGGCATTCCTAGTCTTGACATTTACTACCGACCCTTCGGCGCCTCGAACCAGTCGAAATTCGTGGGTGAAACACGCGAGCAAATAAAAATAAATTTCTTTTCTAGAAAATGGCCACCTGGGTCCTAAAATCACCGGAAATTGTCTTCAACAAGGAGGTGGAAGCGTTTGAATCGTTCGAATACGACTCGAAACTGCTCTCGGTTGCTGAATTTCGGTTGTCATAAACATGTCTTTTTTAGGTTAAGCGCCAAGGCGATCATTTTATGTTCAATTCAAGGCAGGTGGACAGCACGACTAAGGATTTGAATAAACCGGCTAAGGGTTGGTTTCTTGATTTTAACGCAATAGAACTAAAGCTGGGACCGTAACATATACAGATAGATCCAGAAATTTCGTAAGCGTTTATCCAGGCCCCACCTACTTCCTTCACAAAGATGCCGAAACATACGGCTGGCTAGCTGCTAAAAAGTACAACGGTCAACCGGTAATTCCGACAGCTGCTCTCGGAAAATTACCGAAATTCAGAATTTCTTCGTTGATCAGCAGCTAACGGCGCGGGCCAAAAGATATGGGCTCAGGAAATGGCTACCAATTTTGAGGTACGTTGCGAAAGATATACTCAAAATTAATTTTTTGATGCTGCGATTTTGTAAATAACAATAGTTTTATGCGTTTTTATACTTAATACATTATTCTAGGAACCATGCGCTGGTGTATGGCGATCGATATTTTCAAATCGTCCGTGCGGGCCCGTGCTTGACAAAGGAAAAACTTTGATCTGCTTGAACTTACGTGTTCTAACTTTATTTTTGCACAATTTTTTAATTATTGATTGCATAATTGTTTGGGTAGCCTTGCTATACATTGCTTGGCCTCAATTTTTTTGCTATATCTTCAGATCTCAATTATCTCCTTACCTCAACTTGCCAGCTTTACACCACGTGATCCTACCTCATTTACCCTCAATGGTGGCTGGTCAATTTTTTTGCTCAATAAAAGTGATTTCCTCGATTGAAATGTATTTGATACGCACGAACTGCGTATTTTCAATTATATTCGAAAAATTCGAAATAATGAAAAATTAAAATTAATACCTAAAATCGAGTTAGCACCCCCGCAGCCGATATTTTGGCCTGTGGCTGCCATTTCTTTTTATTTTTCGCTATTTTTCGACTCAATTTGTAATATATTCTTACTGCCTACTATTGCTCTTACTAGATATCAGCGAAGGTTATGGTATCCTACCTTATACAGGGTGTCCCATAAAAAAGCACCCCTCCGGCATTTCGCCGTATTACATCCGATCGGTCCCATACTTTGCAGAAGGGTGTATCTGACCCTAAATAACCACAATCCTGAGTTATAGCCAGATCGTTACAGTAGTTTTCGAGTTATCGCCAAAATACTATTTTTTACGCTATTCTTAACGGTTTTTCGGCTATCTTCTTGGACTTTGCATCGATTTGCATCGACTTCCGGCTGCGAATCCCTAATTTCGCCTAATATCGGGGTGACTTTCCGTTACAAAAATTGTTGAAATCAACGTTGCTTTGATTAGTTTTTCCCAGCAAAAAAAATTCCTAGGGGTAAAGAAGGCTTGCCGCTTCATTTTCACTTAATATTTGAAAGGTCGATTCCGACGAAAACCTTACGAAAAACGGATGGGAAAGTTTATTTTTTGTTTTATCTCGAAAATTACTGTAGGTGACGGGCTATAACTCAGGATTGTGGTTATTTAGGGTCTGATACAGCTCTGGTTCAAATTTGGGACCGATTGGATGTAACACGGTAAAATGCCAGAGGGGTGCTTTTTTATGGGACACCCTGTATAATTTTGGGGTGTATCTCTGTGTGTGTGTGGATGTCACTTTCGAGGCCCGATTTAATGGCCTTCCCCTGTATAAAATGCGCTGATTTTTTGTCACTCGGGGGACCTGACATGTCAGGTCGGGGGACAGGTGGCGCGCGTTTTGGCGAAGGGAGGCGGCGAAGGAGGGTAGCCCGAAGTCCAGCCGCTTGAAGCGGCGAAGCCGCTGAAAGCGGCTGGTACTTTAGAGCTCCGTAGCGCAAACTAGCGGCGTGTTACAAAAGTTAGGCTAACCGGGGGTCAACTAAACCCATAAATTACCATGCGCCAATTTGCATATCCGCTCTTCCAAAAAATAGGGATTCTCAAAAAATCATACCATTTTCTCATTTTACTCGCCCCGACACAGCTGTTTCGATGCCGCTGAATATCCTTCAGAGGCTCGTCCCCAAGCGGCTCCGCAACAAGATGGTAATTTTATATATCTAAGTTAAGATTCAAGCTCTCGAATCTACCACTACTCTACAAATATATTTTTTTAGGCAAGCCTGAAACGCGCTGCCTCCTCGACGCTTTTCCCGACTGCGCTCTCCACCAAGCAGAAGCCGCTGGAGCCGGACGACTTCACGGAGCCGGACTCAGGTAACTTATGAGCTGGCTTGAAACAGCTTATGTTGTAGATGTAGATGTTCTCATATTACTGCGTGAATTCAGAACCGGAAGACGTGGAGAGCAGCAGCGTTGAGACGGAGTCGATGTACACGGCTTCTCCCTTTCGCCCATCGCTCTATCGTCGGCGGTACCACACCGGTATTGGCCGTGGTTGAACTCGTTGATTTTGATGTTTAGAAACGCTCCTCGAGATCCCGTCCTCGGCCGGGTCGTTGGTGACCCGTCGCAGCAGCCCGCCCTCCACCTCGTTTGCCGTCGAGAGCCTCGTCCACGTTGATCACTTTCAGGAGGCGTGGTAGGTTTCGGGCCGGCTTCATTTTGGCCCACAGAGTCGTAAAGTATGCCAAAATACTCGTCAGGCCAAGACGTACAATTTGGTATACATTACACTCCTATAGGCCAAGGGAGAGCAGAGATACAGCCGTCAAGAATAAAAATTCCCCGAGTTGTGAAGAATTATCTTCCATATTTCCAGCCCCGATCACTACCACAAAATGGCCCGCGCCGCCGCTCCACTCTACGCCGAGCACGAGCCGCACGCTGGGAATAAGGTGACGCAGGCGTTTTGGAGTTTTGCAATATTGGGGTGGGGGGGGTTTCAGGCGTAACTAAGGAAGCCCCCGTAGCCTTCGCGTAACATAAGCATAAATCGGTACAATTCGGATAAGCCGGGGGAAAATTTTAGGCGGGGAAACCAACTTTTCCGCCCAAGCCTATATTTTTTTATAAATAGTGGAAGTGTTTCTAAATTGTTTATAACTATTCCTAAATATAAAAACTTTTAAAAAATATTAAATAATATTTAATTTTATGTCGAAAAATCAATTTTTTCGGCCCAAAAATGACCAAATTTTCGACTTTTTCAAGCGGTTTTCTAACTTTTTAAAAAGTTTTTCCGATTCAAATAGGCTTTTGTCTAAAAACAATGTGAAAAACCCCTTTATATTTGATTACTATCCCCACCAGGGCCGACAAGAAAAAGTTGGTTCCCCCCCTAAAATTTTCCCCCGCTTATCGGAATTGTACCCATAAATCAATTACCTATTTATAAGCCTCAAAACTATAAAGTATTTGCTTCGGAAAGCACCAAAACGTTGACTAAATGAGTAAATTTTAAGGTTTCTGCGTTTTGAACTTTTTAATTAGGTCTTTTCACTGAGGATTTTGTTAGATTTTAATAAAAAGCTATAAACGATACTGGGCGTTAGACTAGGCATCGGAAAAACACCCGGAAAATACCGTAAGGACATGTTTTTCTCTCCTAACTTCGCATTTTCAGCCCTGCCGCATCAAGTACACGAAGCCGTTGGCGGTGCGCCGGCTGCGCTGCACGCGGACGCGCGCCTCCCGCAACTGGTCGCGCCTCTTCTCGCGCAACGCGGGCGAATCGTCCAGCTACGAGGAGGTGTGCGACCTGACGACGAGCCACACATAACCAACAGTACCCCCGCCCTCAACCACTCGCTTAACTATTAAACATTACTCGCGTGTTCGCCTTACTGATTGTGAATCGTGTATTACTGTCCCGAATCGATTGTTATGTTTGTCTACGAATAAAGTACAATCTTTAATTTTTTGTGGATTACAGGGATCACTACTTTGCGCTTTCCGTTATTGTCAGCTAGTGGATTTTGATGGAAGTATTCTTCTTGTAATAGAGGAAAGGCAAGAAGAGAGTGAACTTTCAAAATAGGTCTGAAGGTCACCTGCTGCAGAATTTTGAGCTGATCACGAATCCGTTTTAAAAGTGTAGCTCGGTAGTGACAGCGCAATTTTGGTGCAAAGTTATTTGCGAACCTAACGACTCGACCTTTCTCAGAAAATCATGCTCTTTCGAATGACGTAGCTAAATAGCGGGACACGGACAAGAAAAGGGCATTTTCTTAAATGGCAGTGCGTAGAGGAAAAGCCGGTCAATTTGTTGGTTCCGTATCGAATATTTCAACAAAACGGTTTTTGAGCTACCTAGATAGAAAATAATTACAGAGTGTCCCATAAAAAAGCACCCATCCGGTATTTCGCCGCATTACATCGGATCGGTCCGATACTTGGTGGATCGGACCATAAATAACCACAATCCTGACTTATAGCCCGATCGCTACAGTAGTTTTCGAGTTAACGCAAAAATACTATTTTTTACGGAATTCTTCACAGTTTTTGAGACTCTCTTTTTCGACTTTGCATCGATTTGCATCAACTTCCGGCTGCGAGCCCCCTATTTCCGCTTAATATCAGGGTTGACTTTGGGTTACAAAAATTGTTGAAATCAACGGTTATTTGAGTAATTTTTATCCGGAAAAAAATATAGGGGTAAAAAGGCTTGCCGCGCCATTTTCACTTAATATTCGAAGGGTCGATTCCGACGAAAACCTTCTGAAAAACGGTCATTAAAGTTTATTTTTTTGTATCTTGAAAACTACTGTAGCTGGCCGGCTATAACGCAGGATTGCGGCTATTTAGTGTCTGATACACCTCGGATCCAATTTTGGGACTGATCGTATGTAATACGGCGAAATGCCGGAGGGGTGATTTTTTTTTATGGGACACCCTGTAGAATAAGAACTTGTTCGTATGGAAAAAGACTACGAAACGTCCAATCTTGACAACGACTGAATGTAGGGCGTCCAAATGCGGTGCGGCTCGTTTTTCCGAGACGCCAAGCACTCCTCGCGCGCCTCAATGGTCGATTTCGCCTGAAAAACTTTCCCTTTTCTCAAATAGTCGCGTTTCGCAAAGGATTTATTTAGCAATTGATTTAATTTTTTTATACAATTTTCGTTGCGCACTTGATAATGTATCAGGTTGGAACGAAAGATCTGTCGCCGAAATTACATTTTGTCAAATATGACCCGGCGGGTCCAAAAATAAAGCAGCGATTTTCGGCCTCTGCCTACGAAATGTATCGGAAGGTATGGGATTTCGGGAAAAGTTCTAAGAATTGGGCTAAAATTCAGAGGCCAATATCTCGGCCATCCAGTGTCCAATTTTGATAATCTCAACATCTATCGATATCTACTCCTCGAGAGCTATCGATTTGCGTTAAAGATATTGCATGCAAATTGCTCTTTGCAGAGATAACTTGTAAAAACACTTTTTGGTAAATTTGTGAAAAACTTCTTCGGCCTGTATCTCGGCTCTACTTGATTTTGGCGGCACCGAACCCTCCTACCGAAACGATTTAGGTCGAGAGCTACAAAATGACATATCGCACGTGCAGAATGGAGCTATCTACGAATTTAGCCAGCCTTTCAAAATCTCGGCGACAGAACTTTCGTTCCAACCTGATATTTGCAAAAAAAGTGGATTGATTTGAAATGATTAGCACCGTCTCAAAAATCTAGTTAAAAAGGGCCCCATTTGGCAAATACTTTTATGGTCGTTTGTTTGAATGGAATTTGGTTTGTTCTCGTATTATTTGTTAGTTTATTACATATTTCCATGGTTCTATGGTTGTCCCTCATCGACAATCCGCTTACGCGATAAAAATCGGGCTCCGGCTGTAATGGCACCTTCCCAAGCCGCGGATGTAAACATGGCGTAAACCCTGCCCCATTTCTATTTCATACAGTATTTGAATTATATTTTATATATTTGAATCATTAAAACTACCTATTGAACCTATTATTGAAAGTAGTAACCACAAATAAATGTCGGGATGTCGGATGCCACCAATTTTGTCGCCGTGCACAGCTATTAATGTTGTTGAATTTAACGATAATACATGGATTCTAGCGGGTAACCTAATTTCCTTTATATTGGACGAATAACCAATTTAGGAATCGAAAACTGCCTGGAAATCGGTCCGTTGGCGGAGGGAAAATTAGCAAAACGGCAGACAAGGGGGCCGTTATATCGGATTTTTTGTACTAGTGAAGAAATTGAACAAATCATTGTGATTCAAAATCATGCGCCTTTCAAAGGTAATCAATGCATTGATACATAATCTATATGTAATAAAAATTTTAGGGCCTTGTATCGTTTTATTGGCCTTTCTTAAATACGCGATTATAGACTTTGTTAAGTTGCTTGAAGATTCAAATGGAGAAAGGTATTTTATGCTGAAGAGTAGCTTATTAACCAAAAACCGAGAAAGCTAAGCTAATTAAAATAATTTTACCTAGTTATGACCTTTTTTAGGGCCGTCGAATGGAAAACCGTTGTGGATATCGAAGAGCTTTGTCTCAAACAAGATAAAAAGTTAGAAATGGTCGAAATTGCCTTTCCGACAGCTGTCAACTGGCATTTTTCGGCAGCGGAATCGAAGCTTTCTGTAAGGCTTGCTTATAGCATTGTCAACCCGGAATTTTGTTAATGTAATTAGTTATTTCAGTGCTACGGCTTCTTGTCGATAGTCGTTACCAATATATTTGAACCGGATGTGGCCGAAATTGCGATAAAAAACCTGTACGCAGAAGGTCTGGATGGAGGGTGGGTCCGAAAACTTTAAAAAAATTTGGCTCGATGTTATAAGGTGTCCGCGCTAAAACATCGTCTATTTTTCTGAAAAGCGCTCCAAATCTGGCTTCGCGGACGTCAGGCACTAAAGCGAGGGGTTCTTGCACCTTATCGGGGGGGGGGGGGGGGGACCCATGGATCGAATTTTTCCTATAAATTCACAACGATATTAGTGAGTGTTTTAATTGTGTTTTGTGCGTATTTTAACCGTAGTTCAAGTGGAAAACAACATAAAAATCCGTTTTTTGGAGGTTGAGTGGGTTTGGTTTTTCGTTTTTAATTTTTATTTTTTTACTTATTTTTTTGGGATCCTTAGAGAAAAATTGGGTTTTAGCCCAATGACCCCCAACGTTTCTACGGGTGTTTTTAACAAAAAAAAATATTACAATCAGGCCCATGGCTCCATGCATTTCCACGGGCAACGGTGATGATGGATCTATTGTCTATTACGATGAAATAAAAGAAGAGGTTGTCGAAATCCTGAGCACCGGTATCATGGAGAAATACCCAAAGCCTATGGTGCGTTTCTTGTTGCCGACACAAGAAATAAAAGCACCAACATCCAACCATGTTTAGTCGTCAAAAGCAGCAGAAATCGATGAGAGCGACCTTGCCCTGTTGCGGGAGAAGTTGTATCTATTGAAAGGCAACTATTTCTATTGCTATGATCGGGCAACAAAGCAGGTAGCTGCTACTTGAAAATTGGCTGCGGCGTTGCTACGCTGTATACTATAAGCTTCAAAGCCGTCCTTAAACCAACGTCATTTTTCCCTAGATGGCCTCCGTCAAGCTCAGGCTCGCAAACCCAAGCACCAAGTCAGTATCGGTACCCACCAAGAGGATCCGGATTTGGCGCGGCGCGGATCGCGAGGGTCGACCTGCCGATTTTCCGTTTGTCGTTTACGGCGGTGGGTTGTGGATGATGTGCTATAGGGTGTCACTAAAACAAATTCCTCCCTTTGCCGGAAAGGGAAAAAAGCGACCCTCAGCCCCTCGCCTGATTGGTAGGGCTAGTGGCTTCGAGTGGGACCACATCCGCGCTCTCCCCAGCAGGGGGACGTGCTCTGGGGCACCCAGTGTTGGTAATGGAGTATAGCACGCTTAGCACGTAAAGCACGCTCGAAATCAAAAATTATTGAACTGATACTAATGGTGTTCAGATCGGATCCTAGCGTACCAATGCACTGACGGCGAACCGAGGCTGCAGTGGCTGATGGATTGCAACTGCGGCGTCGGCGATATTGGGGCCTGGGAGATGATCGGGAATGATTATGTAGTAAGTATTCCCGTCCACACATCAACTTCAGAGTAATCTAGATTGCCTCTGGACCCGGGGGAACTGCGAAAATAACTGTGTCGAATGTTATATCGGAAGGACCCAAGCTGCTTCCTGCCGTCAGCATGTGCGATTTTCTCGGTCTGAAATCAGCCGAGCTCAAAGAGGTATTTAGTTTGGGGTTATTGCTATTCTTTTGTGAAAAATATGCTGATTCATAATTTACGAATTTAGTTCTTCATTGCCGGCGACAGAATGTTGTGGCTATATAAAGGGTAACAAATTTTAAATTTCTGAAATAGCAAGTCGGTCACCATTTTCGAAATTTCGAAAATACTCAAAATGTCGGGAGTAGCCCCCACGTTATGTTATTTGGTGCCCATAGGTTTCAACGACGGTCAGCTTAAGACCTTTTTCAGTCACCTCGTGCAGTCGCGTGTCGAGAGCGCCTTCTTGGACAAACCTCTCGAAGAAGCCCCCGATTTTCCCGTTGGCGAGAACGGCATTTACGAGAAGATCTTGGCAGTGAATACGAGCACCAATCTCGTAGTGCTACTGCGCAATGATGAAGGGGTGACTTACAAAAGTTTCGACGTCTCGGCCGAGGATGCCCCAAGTGAGGACCGTCTACCTAGCAAGAGAAAAAAAACCCTTGTTTTAGTTGAAGTCCCACCGCGCGGTTTCATAAACAAAGCCAGCGTCAAAGAGTTATTGGACCTGAAAATTTTGCCGGATTTATTTTTGACACCACCCAATGTCTACCGGCCGGCGGGCCAATCGTAGGTCTTTCCGGCATCTCATTCGTGTCATTTGAAACATAAAAAAAAATCAAAAAAACCTTTGGTTGACGAAATAATAGGACTTGTCAATGAATTTAGCAAAACTATCGAAAAAGTACAAAACGATACGCATGTTGCTTTTACTTTCATCCGTTCTTTCTCCGATTTTTTTATTTTTTTAATGTCGTTTGTTAGGGTTTTGAAAGCTGTTGGAATGGTAGTGATCCCGGATCAAACCCGTGTCAGGAAAAATGAGTTGGGAGAAAATGACGGGAGCCGTAATTTTTAGAAGTTCTTTGAAAATTTTTAAGGTCACAATTTCGAAGTCTCATACTGTCGCAATTTCATACGGTCGCAGTGTCATAATGTCGATTGTCATGATATTGAAAAATACATGAACAAATCTCAGAAATTCGCCGAAATATTGATCAAGATTATGAACTTTCGGCATTATAGTATTTCACTAATTATCAATTTCAACATTCTGAATGTCGAAATTTTGAAAATTATGATAGCCAATCCGATTTTAGAGGTGACACGAAGGATTTCATGGAAACTTGTTTGACCTTGGTGGACGCTTGCATCGATAAAATCAGCTTCGTGGTAACCTCCACGTGTTTAAGCTCAATTAACGCCACTTTCAGTGCCATGCCCAAAGGGCACCCGAATTTGAGCCAGATAGCTGGGAGGTCGTTTGGGGCAGGGGCCAAGTGGAAGATGAGATGGTGAAGACCGCGTTTTTGTTCATCGACGATCAAGAATATTTGATTGGCATTACGCAGTATTCTGAATTAGCTCGACTTACATTTTTGGATCCTAGGTCAGGTCTGGTCTACGGGCCCGCGAAGGGACATGGGACGTGGATGCCATTTACCGAAGCGGGAGAGGCGAAGCAATCGGAGTAGGATTTGGCGGCTTTCTATATTGTCTATTAGTTTTTGATTTAAATATAGGTGATTTTATGAAAACGCTTTTAGAACGCTTATAATAACGTTATGAGGCATTAGACTTGCATGAAAAAATTAGGTGGAGAGCAAAAGATATGAAAAGCGGAACGGAAAAGGCCTACACAAACGTGGGGCAGAGCTGATTTTGTTAATCTGTGCGCGCTTGTTAGGCTTATTAGGATCGCTATCCCTTAATTATAATTGCAACCCTCTAAAACGCTGACTTCAGAAGGTACAACTTTGTCGACATGCAATGCCTCTACGAGAAGCAACAAATTTTGTTGTTGATGCAGGGCGCTTTTGTTCTAACGTGCGGGTGGTTTATAAAAGAAGGTAAGCTACTTCATAATGCCGAAATTTCAAGATGTTTTCTCGATCTCTCGATAATTTTCTGCTTAAGATTTGGTGAGATTTTCTTTGGTGTTTGTTCAGTTAAATTTTCGAAACTGTAAAATTTCGACATGATAAGATTTAAAAATTATGACGTTCGGACACTATCAAATTTCGATAAGATAAAATTGAAATTTTACAATGTAGAACTATAATTTCGACATTCGGAATGATTGACGTCATGAAATTTGGGCATTCTGAAATTTCAACATTATAAAATTTTGGAATTATGAATTCCGCCGCTATGAGCTTCGCCATCATGAAATTTCGACGTCATGAAATTTCGGCATTTTGATTTTTACATTATGAATTTCGGCACTATGAATTTCGACCGCATGAAAAACCCTTGAACCTCATCACAGTCGCCTGTTAAGAGAAGCTCATCTTCCAACAGCTCCGCTTCGATAGCATCCCGGATTTGAGGGAGGCAAAATGTTTCCTTTCTCACGCAACACAGCGCTGTCTGGTAGGTGGTGTCCCGTTAATGAAATCTGCGAATTCAGGTGTTCGGCTGGGGACATTTGCCGAGATACTGGACCAACGACGTTCGTTAAAGTCCACGTGCTTCGTTTTAGCCCGTCGTTTAGGATCACTATTCACCTCTAATCTACGACTACGAGACCAAGAGGCGCTGGGCATCCAGTCGCCATAACCTCAGGGAGATGCATGCGGCTAGAGAACTTTGCTCTGGAGTGTAGGTTCAGCCGATGGTGATCACAGCCTTTTTTCAGGCATATAGGCAGCGATGGCAACGCGAGCATGATAGCCATGAATGGGGAGAATGAAAGGGTGAGTTTAAAGGGGCCAAGCAGTGCCAAATATGTAAGCGCTTTTGGGAGGCACCCTATAGTTCCGGCGAATAGCCAACGACCGCTGCCGGACCAGAGCCTCACAATTTCGATTTTTGCGCGAAATTGTTTTTGCCTTGCCGACTTCTTTGTGAAAACCGGATAATTTTGAGTTTCTGATCTCATTTCTAAAATCAATTCTAAATTGTTTTGTTGTTTTAATCATCAAACTTGGCACAGAAACAGCCGATAACGCGCCGTTGCGCCCCGTATCATTTATTGGGAATGCACTTATTTTTTTTTTTTGTGTTTGTGTGTGTGTGTGTGTGTTTTTTCCCTTTCTTCTTTTTCTTTTTTCTAAAATATTTTTTTTTTTTTAATTTAAAATATAATTATTTTTTATTTTTATTTTTTTTTTTTTATATAAAAAATTTTTTTCTTTTTTTAAAAAAATAAAAAAAAGGTAAGCCGGATTATATAACAATATTTAGTTTCACCTAGCGCTCGAACGGGACGAGGTGGTGACAGTACAACCAGGGTTAATTCCGCATAAAATCGAAAAGGTTGTTGCCGCTCCATTCGACGACCTGGGCTTTACCTTGGTGGGTGCGACAAAAAAAGCAACCAATATTTTCGCGCGAGGAATCTGAATATTTTAAGTATAGGTTATTTGACAATTTTTCAGATAGCTGCCGTCGGTGGATATCGCGCTACCCTACTCATCTACCAACCGGAAAATGGTAAGCGAGCCATGATAATACCGTTAAAATGCGCTTAGAATTATTGACAGCCGTCAACGAGCATGCCGGGACAAAATTTTGCGATGCGGGCTTTGCTTTGGTAAGCGATTTGCGTGCATATTTTCGAAACTCATATTTTCGAAACTCAGATTTTCGAAACTCATATTTTCGAAAACTCATATTTTCGAAACTCATATTTTCGAAAACTCATATTTTCGAAACTCATATTTTCGAAAACTCATATTTTCGAAACTCATATTTTCGAAAACTCATATTTTCGAAACTCAGATTTTCGAAAACTCATATTTTCGAAACTCATATTTTCGAAAACTGATAGTTACAGCTTTGCATAGGCTTGGGTAACTTAAGAAAACCTAAGAAAATATGAATTTCAAAAATATGAGTTTCGAAACTATGAGTTTTCGGGTTTCTTGCGTATCCGGGGGGGGGGGGGAAGAATAGGGAAAAAAAACAAAAAAGAACTGATTGTAATAGGAAAATTTTTTTAAACGTTTAGAAAAACGCTTGAAAAAGTCGAAAAGTTGGTCGTTTTTGGTCGAAAAAATTAATTTTTTTACCTAAAATTAATTTTTTATTAAATTTTGTAAAGTTTTATGCTTAGGAATAGCTATAAACAGTTTAGAAACAATTCCACCATTTATACAAAAAATCTAGGCTTGGGCCGAAAAAAGTTCAGTTCCCCCCCACGCAAGGACCGTTTTCGGAAATCTGAGTTTCGAAAATATGAGTTTCGAAAATATGAGTTTTCGAAAATATGAGTTTCGAAAATATGAGTTTTCGAAAATATGAGTTTCGAAAATATGAGTTTTCGAAAATATGAGTTTCGAAAATATGAGTTTTCGAAAATATGAGTTTCGAAAATGTGGGTTTCGAAAATATGAGTTTCGAAAATATGGGTGCCCACCTTGGTAAGCATAACAAAATTTCTTACCTCAACACTTCCCCTTTTCGACAAAGACGGAAACCATCAATGGGGTTCGGGTTGCGGTGGCGACGCTCGTTTTGATGGGGCGGGAAGCACTCGGCTCAATCGACGTCCTCGAGCTGATGATAAAGGGCCACGTTGAAGGTGATTTTCGGGTTGAATTTTACGATATCGTAATTGTAGATCCGTCTATGCCGGAAGTGTTAATACTGAAGCGGACCCGGCGGTGCGGGCCGCGACAAGCGAACTGCATGTACATCCCGCAAACGGTTGGTAATCATAAGTGTTTTCTATTATCTTCAATGACATTATTTTCAGCTGTACATAAAACTCTTAGCATATTTTTTGACGCTTTATTATCAAATTGCGTTAACAGAATGTCGAAAAACAGTGAAGATCCTGAAAAAAATAGCTTACCATCCCCATTTTCAGAATTATTTTTGCTTTCGTAATAACTTTCGTAGATTCTAGTGTTTCGAATTAGAATTCAAATTCTTTATATTTTTTAAGCTCTACAGGGTCGCGAGGTGGTAGTCCCCAAAAAAGATTAAATACCAATAAATCAATTACTTTGCCGTCCATTTAGTACGAGTGGTGGGAGGGATTTTTCTGGATGTACTACGTCAAGGTGATCGACTGCAAGCGCAAACTGTGCACGGGCGACTGTGGCCAAGGCGACTACATGGCAATCGGGTGGGCGCACTTCTTGTTAGTTCAAAACAAGCTGCAGTCAATACGGAATTATGCCGGAAGCCAAGTGGTTTTCCACCCTGCGCCGTGACGCCGTGGCGATGAAGCAGGTCCATTCGAAAGAACCGCGTTTTCAGGTGGGAAGGAAGTCCAACAAGGAACCTACTGGCAAGGAGACGTCTTTCAGTTAGTGTTGGACAGCACCCCAAAGAGCACCCGGGTGCTTTGAAGCACCCCGGGTGCTTTTTTGCACCCGGGTGCCTGTAAAAGCACCCGGGTGCTCTGGCTACCCGGGGTGCTTTCAAAGGCACCCAGGGGTGCCCTGAAAAGCACCCCGGGGTGCTCTGGAAAGCACCCCGCCGCCCAGTGGGGTGCTCTGGAAAGCACCCCGCCCCCCACTGGGGTGCTCCGAAAAGCACCCCGGGGTGCTTTCTCGAGCACCCCGGGGTGCCCTTTGGGGTGCCTTTCGGGGTGCTGTCCGGGGTGCTTTTTGGCAATGACTTCAATATATGAACTAGGCTTTTTCTGACCAAATCAGAAGATGAACATCATCTTCGAGCAGTTCGGACAAGTTGATGCCAAACTGCTTGCAACTCATTTGGGGGTCGTTTGGTAGCATTTCTTCGAGGTTGTTCAAGGCGGCGGACGATTTCGAGACGTTTTTTTCTAACCGCCCTAGTAGGCTGAGCTAAGCTGCTCAAAGGCTGAAACTCGTTACACGGATAGAACTTTTCGCGCTCTTTCGAATAATGTACTTGGCACCCCAAAATACTTAATTTCAAGCGAGATATGATGGTTTTACTGCTGCGACAACTTCGGCAAGTATGCCTTTCAGCACTAAAACGCTCCAAACTCTGTCCCCAGACGGTTTCGTGTAACGTTAAGTATACCGTTGGAAAGAGCGTGAAAAATGCCATAATTTAGACATTTGACACAACTCTAGTGTTGTGGTTTAGAGCTGCTAGGGCGGTTAGAAAAAAACGTCTCGAAATCGTCCGCCGCCTTGAACAACCTCGAAGAAATGCTACCAAACGACCCCCAAATGAGTTGCAAGCAGTTTGGCATCAACTTGTCCGAACTGCTCGAAGATGATGTTCAGCTTCTGATTTGGTCAAAAAAGCCTAGTTCATATATTGAAGTCATGGCCAAAAAGCACCCCGGACAGCACCCTGAAAGGCACCCCAAAAGCACCCCGGGTGCTCGAGAAAGCACCCGGGTGCTTTTTGGAGCACCCCAATGGAGGGCGGGGTGCTTTCCAGAGCACCCCACTGGGCGTCGGGGTGCTTTCCAGAGCACCCCGGGGTGCTTTTCAGGGCACCCCGGGGTGCCTTTGAAAGCACCCCGGGGTGTTTTTCAGAGCACCCCGGGGTGCTTTTTACAGGCACCCCGGGGTGCAAAAAAAAGCACCCCGGGGTGCTTTCAAAAGCACCCCGGGGTGCTCTCTTTGGGGTGCTGTCCAACACTACTTTCAGTATAGTCCGGACTTCGGGGTCGAGCCCAGCCTCTCCTGTGCAGAACTTTGTGCTGGCTCTGAATATCATTACCGTTTTTACGCAATCGCAATTTCTAGCAACTTATTTAAATTGATTTTTGATTTAAACAAAAAAAAAATGACGTGATCGCGACTTTTGAGGGACATAAAGCTTCGAATTAAGTTTTTCCAATCTTTTTTTTCATAAGGCTTCTAAAGCTCTAGTGCGGCCTGTTCCAAAAAATGCTAGGGCGTTTTATCAAATACGCTACTTGACTCAAAATTTTCGCAAAATGGAAATTTTCAGGGCACCAAACTTTAATTTAGTGTTTAAATCAAGCAATCGCTATTGCGCAAAAACCGTGAAAGTTTTCGGAACCAGCGCAAAATTCTGCACAAGGCAGGCTTGGCCTTGTCCCCTAGTTCGGAGGACACTCGAAAAGGTCTCCTTGAAAGGTCAAATTGGCGTTTCGGGTTCGGACCCAGCCAGGCTTGGTCATTTTGGTATCGGGTATCCGGATCGGATCGTATCGGATCGGATCAAATCGGATCGGACTGATTTGCATGCCGAACTGGATCCGATCCAGATCCGATCCGGATAGATCCAGAAGTATCGGATTTTTATGCGAATCCAAAAAGTCGATGTTAATGCAATTTTGCTTCCTAAAAACCGGTATAATACCTTTCATCATGCTGAATTTTGGCTTTTTTCACACTACATACATACATTACACACATAAACTCACCATTTGCACAAAATTCGGAATAGCGAAACTTGGCATAGTGGAAATTCGGCATAGCCAATTTGGTATAGCGAAAATTCGGTGCACCGATAATTGGCATACCGCAAGTCGGCACAGCGAAAATCGGCATAGTAAAGTTCTACCAAATATTGGGATAACTCAGTAAAAATCTCGTTTGCATGGAAATCGCTATAAAATTCGGGACCCCGATGCCGATCCGCCGCATCTGGATCGGGTATCGGATCGGATCGGATCGGCATGCAAATTAGTCCGATCCGATCCGATCCGATACCAGTCCGGCCGATCCGATCCGATCCGGGTAGCCGATACCAACATGACCAGGCCTGGACCCAGCCTATCATGCGACGAATTTCTCGTTGATTCCGAATAGCTTCCCATTTCGGCCAAACAACCTGCTTTAAAAAGAAGAAAAACTTTACAAAATGGTGACAAACCGCTAGTCCTGACAAACCGTTCATAGGCAGTCACACACTAATAAAATACACCGTTCATAGCAGAAAAAATGTCCACAAGATTACGTTCGATATTATTCAGATGACGTTCAAACGCTCGACACAAAAAAGGGGCTCGGATGTGGAGGTCTATTATGTCGAGGAGGAGGGCGACAGCAAAGCGGTAGCTTCGAGAAATTGCAACAAATTGGTGTTTAGAAATATGCACTCTGGAATGTGGCGCGAACGAAATTCGCCTTCGGCAAGGTGAAGATTCCGGATTTCAGCGACTATTTTATTCAGGGCCTGCCTCACTACACGTATATCGATTATGATGGCAAAACGATATCGGTATTTTCACAATATAAAAAAGATTAAAATCTACCTCGAGCTTTTAAAGTTTCTATAAAAACCGCTTTTCTATAAAAAGTTTTTCTGCAGTCTATAAACAAGAAAATCAAGCTTTTTCTAGCTCTTGAATCAGGAAAACTTTGTGACGGTCAAAATCCGGAACACCGATTCACTATGGCCGCGAGAGCTGGACTTCGGAAAAGGTAGTCGTTAAATGAATTAAGGCAATGGATTCAGTCGATTGAATATAAGCATTATTCTTACATTTTGAATAGTGTTTCATACTAATTTAATAGATCCTTGCTACTTTCTGCATAAACGTGGAGAGGAGTTTGTTTGGGTCCTCGCTAAAGCATCCGACGGAACCAAGGTAAGCTTACAAAAATCCTGTTAGTCTATCCCATTTTCGAATTTCTTCGCTGCCACCGGTTCGCTCGATGACGCTTTACCAGAATCGAAGATCTGCCCAATATTGCTGTAAGTGAAATCACCAATTAGCGTTATCTGTGCTTTTAGAAACCATGCTCTGATTTACACGAAAACGTCTCTGCGGATAGCCCGGCCCTGTGCGTGCTTTTCGAAGACCGAAAGAAACGAGTAGAATCTGGCGACTAAAAAATTATACTGGTGCTTTGATGGCTTTTCTGTGGATAAAACGGTTCTTGATTTTAGTCGTCTGATGGTTAAACCGTTAGCACATACCACCAGGGACTTATTTAACATATCCGTCATATTTAACAAACGAACGGCACATGAAAAACTTTCGATGAATCTTGGGACCTCCCCAGCCGATGCTTAGATGTAACAAATATCATTCTCTCTCTCTCTCTCTCTCTCTCTCTCTCTCTCTCTCTCTCTCTTATTCCCCCCCCCCCCCCCCCCCCCCCCCCCCCATTCTCTCTTTCTATCTCTCATTCTCTCTCTCTCTCTCTCTCTCTCTCTCTCTCTCTCTCTCGCTCTGTTTACCGGGAAAAAGCACCTATTAAACTTTTTTGGGCGCTGACCCGAGAGTCGATTTTTTCAATAAAAGCCAGATTTCGAAAGCTGAATGCGGGGCGGGGCGGGCCCCGGCGTCCATTATGATACGCGATTTTTTTGAATAGTCAATTTTTTAAATGGCGGATAATTGTTTTCTATGAATTTGGATGAAATTCTCAGGATAAATTTATAAAAGAATTAATATGAAAAACAATTCCTCAAAAAGGATCATATGGACAAAACACAAAAAAATCAGGACTTTGTAAAACCGGCGATTGATGCTAGCCGCATCGGGTTCTTTATGTTTTTCTGTTTGTTTAGCACTGTGACCCCAACTGTCCAATCCCCCCAAAGATTTGCTTATGCAATAAAACGATCGGGAGGGATGGGGGTAAACGCAGCTGTTATGGCCTGTTGCCAAACTGCCGTTGTAATCCGAACACCATTCTCATTGATATCAGATTCTCAATAAGATTCATCTCTAAATATATCCGCAGCTATTATTATTAAAGGCTAAAACTCCAAACGAATGTCCGGATGTCGGGTGCCGCCAATTCTGTCGCCGCGCACCGCTATTAATGTTGTTGAATTTAACGATACTACCTGGATGGTGGCCGGTATGTTAAATCAATTTATTATGACCTAATAATTACTTTAGCTATCGAAAACTGCCTGGAAATTGGGCCTTTGACTGAAGGAAAACTCGCAAAACGACAGACGGGAGAGCGGTTATATCGGATTTTTTGTGTTAATGAAGTGATTACGCAATTTATAGTGGTTCCATATCATGCTCCTTTCGAAGGTAAATAATTCTATTAAGAAATCCATATAAAATCACATTTTTAGGACCGTGTATTCTTGTATTGACCTATTCTATGAAATATGCAATTATCGACTTTGTAAAATTAATAGAGGATTTGTGGGGAGAAAGGTATGTTTTACCGTAAGAGAATCGAATCATTAATAAGGGCCAGCTAGCAAAGATCGTTTGCTTTCTTTTAAAATTCAGATAACTTTTTAAGGGCACCGGAATGGAGAACCGTAGTGGATATAATAGCTCTGTGCAAACGGGAGAAGAAAGTGAATTTATTGCGGCAATCGAACGAATGGATCTTTCCGGCAAATTTGGAGTGGCTATTTTATGAGCAGGAATCGAAGCTTTCTGTAAGTTTTGGCCATGAATTCAGCTAATTAAAATATGTCTTTTGTGTTGCAAACAGAATTTTTTAGTGTCACGGCCGTCTCTCGATGTCTATCACGAATATCTTTGAACCCACTGCGGCTGAAATTATAATAAAGAAACCGCGCGGGGAGGACCCGAATAAGATGTGGGTGAAAGGCTAAACACTTGCACTTTCGGGTTGCTTTCAAAATATCGAAGAACATAGTGTCGAAATTTCACAATGTCGAAATTTCATAATGTCGAAATTCAGAACGCCGAAAAATGTCTAAATTGCGTAATGAGTAAATGCCATAGTGTCGAAATTTCATAACGTCGCGATTTCCGACGAATTTACTTAGGTAAATCTCGCGGAAAGCGCAAAAATTCCGACACAGTGAGATTTCGACATTCTGAAATTCGACGTGATGAAATTTTAACATTATGATAGCAAATCTACGCGTTCTAAAAAGATCAATTTGCTCGACCGCCGTGAAATTTAGATGGAAAATACCATACATTACTGCTGGTAGCGCTGACGATGTAGTATTTGCATATTTGGATGAAACGGGCGGGGAACGTGTATGCGGTTATGTGAAAGAGCGTTTCCGCATGCCCAAGGTGCGTTTGCATTTGCTAAAGTTTAAGAACCAGAGAAATTCGGGTTTTTTCTTCCGCCGGTATTCCGGGCCAACTAGCTGTGGCCGTCTAACGGGTGACGGCCAGTTTGCCTAAACCCATTTCGCCTCAATCCTATTTCATCTAAAGCCCGTTTCGCCGAAACCCATTAAACCTACATTTTTCGCCGTTTTCATTGCTGCATTTATCAACACAAAAAAAATCAGTATTTTTCGAATTTATTCTAAGTTTTTTATAAATTTTTGAACTTAATTTTATTAAATCCTTGTGAAAGCCCCTTTTTGAGGCAATTTACAAGGCTATTATTCAAGAAGTTTCAGAACTAACTCTAGGAATGTGCGAAACAATTATAAAAATTTCGAACGATGTCAAATTTTCTGTCAAGAATTTAGCAATGAAAACGGTCAAAAAATAAGGTAGGCGAAATGTAATAAGGCGAAATGGGATTTGTGAGCAATGGATCTTATGCGAAACGGGTTTAGTTGAAAAGGATTTAGGCGAATTGACCGGAATTCCATCTAACCGCCTATGGAAATTTTTAGGCATGGCGTCCTGACAGGCTCGGCCAGACGGACATTGCCCTTTCGCGAAAAAAGCTGTATTTAGTGGAAGGCAACCATTTTTATTGCTTGGATCGAGCGGCAAAAAAAGGTCCGTTGTTGCGTGCTGAATGGGTCATTGTTGCACCGTTGTTTTTGGCCACGGGCGCAAAGATGCAAGACGGCCTCAAAGCAATCGGTGATCGCTTCAAAGGCGCTTTTTAGAGCGCGACGAGCGTGCTCCGCGCTAAAACTTCAGACGCCGACTCCGGCCGAGGTCCGACTAAGAAGATCCGAGTTTGGCGCGGTGTGGATACCGCCGGACGGCCGGCTGATTATGTGTTTGTCGTGGATTTCGGTGGGCCACAATTTTATTCGCTACGCACGGTTTTTCATTTTCTTTTTTTCTTAGATCGGATAGTAGCCTACCGCTGTGGCGACGGCGAGTTGCGGCTGCATTTGTTGTGGGATTGCAATTGCGGTGTTGGGGAAATCCGAGCGTGGGAGCTGATCGGAAATGAGTATATAGTAGGGGCAATGTTTTTACAGCTTACCTTAAAGCATTTTCGATTGCATCTGGGCCTGGCGGAACCACGAGAACAAACGTATCTAAAGTAATGGCAGGCAAAACAAATACGCTCGAGGAAATCCCTGACCTTGACGGTTTGAATGTTGACGAACTCAAGGAGGTATTTTATTTTTAGGGCCGCATGATCATCTTCATTGCTTATCAAACATTCATATAAAAAATTCCCAATTTCAGCTCATCATTCTTCGCGATAGGGCGCTCTGGCTAAAAAATGGGTATGATGCTAGTTTGTTCACGGTTTTTCCGCCCTTTTGCTCGATTTTTCCGGCGATTTTTCGGATTCTAAATTCTAATAAAAACACAACCCCATTTTTAAGCTTTACTTTAAGGTATCTGGTACACGCGAGGGTTGAGAGCATACTCTCTGGCCAACCGATGCAAGCACGAGCTGATTATCCATTGGATGGCTGCGGGCCTTACAAGGAAATCCTGGCGGGAAATGCGAGGACGAATCTCGTCGTGCTCCTTGACCATGATAATCGGGTGACCTATCACAGGGTCGACATCACGGTGGAAGGTGAACCAAGTAAGAACTTTCGAGAAAATAAAGCTCCACGCAGTCGAGCCTCCACCGATCGGCTTCCTTGATCGTGTAGGCGCCAAGCTATTCTTGGACGTGCCTCATGTATGCGATACCCTATGGACACCATCAGATGTCTACCGACCAACCGTTTTGGGGTTTGTGGTTTCTAAAGAGTTGCAATTAAGTGGGATTTGTTTTTTCATCAGAAGCAAATTGTAGATGAAGTTGTATGGCGCTCTCGAAACCCCATTTTTGCTCCATTTTCTGTATTTTTCATGCCCGGACATGAGTTTTTTGTCAAAAACTCAATTTAACCGGTTTGAGCGCTAACAAAGCTGTGTTTTCGCAAACGGCTTTCAAAAAGCTGTCGCTGGGCTGCCAGTAAAGGCATAAAAATTGCGCAGAGCGTCAAATTTAAAGGCGTAAGACACATATTGTTGCGAGAAGCATCAGAAAATTCGCATATTTGTCAAAAAGATTAGTGAATGTAAGAAAAACTCCGAACAAAAAGGCTTACCGCCGAAAACCTGTTGACGACGTTTAGGGGCGATAATGATACGCGATTGCTGGAGAATCGTATGGCCATGGTCACCACCTCGGTCAAAGAACTCCGTTTCGTGGTAAAATCCTGTACCTCATTTCTAAATTAGCTTATTTTAGTGCCACGCGCAACGAGCCCCTAAATACGAGGCCGAAATGTGGGACTTCGCCTGGGCTAGAAGCTGTGTAGATGATAAGGCCGTGAAAACCGCGTTTCTTCTCATCGACGACCAAGAATATTTGCTCGCTCTTATCCAGTAACTGAAGTTGGATAATGCAGAATTTACGATCCTAGGTCTGGTCTTCTCTATGGGCCGTCGACGGGACAACCAGCAACATGGATGCCCTTCACCGATAATCGCGCGACGGCGAGACAGGCAACGTAAGTGCCGGTTTTTAACTTTCTACGATTTTTAAAATCAGCTGAGCGATAACGCCAAAACTAGAACTTGAGCTACGCCACTTTTGAAACTGCAGGGTGTCCCAAAAAATCCCCGTATCTAGCCGGCCGCCGTCGTGTCCGATTTTGACGATTTAGGAATCTATCGAAAACTCTCGAAAAAGCGAGTCCAGCTCGTCTTTAGCTTTTGGAAATACCGGAATTTTTTTACATTTACTAACATTTTGAGGAATGGATGAGTTTTCGGATGCTTTTTCGATCAGTCTTTCTTTTAAAATGGTAGTCTATGAATTTTTACGCCTTTCGTGGCAGCGCAACGATACCGTTTTGGAAGCGAGTTGATAAAAAAACAGCATGCTGGCGTTTGAACCCAGGAAACTGAGTTTTGGGAGAAAAAGCGTGTCCTTTTTCAATCAAAAATGCCGAAATCGAGCAAAAAATTTCCGGAAGCCTCCGGTAGGTACCGAAATCGTAAGAATCGGACACGACTCCGGTCCGCCAGGGAGGGGAATTTTTTGGGGACACCTTGTACGACTTTGTAAGGCTAAGCCTACGCCTAAGTCATCTTAGGTCTTACGACTTTGTCGACATGCAATGTATCTACGAAAAGCAGCAAATATTGTTGTTGATGCAAGGAGCGTACGTGCTCATATGCGGATGGTTTATAAAAGATGGTAATTAAATTTACTAGCCTAGAAGTGTAATTCAGAGAGGCTATTCATTCAACAGCTCCGCTTGGAGGGCATTCCTGATTTCAGAGAAGCCAAATATTTTCTGCCACATCCGACGCAGCGATGTTTGGTAAGGGCCATTCTTGATCGGAAGATTTGCTTATTTAGGTTTTTGGCTCGGCGGCATTATCGACCGAGGTTTGTGTGCACTCGCAGTTTTTTGATTTTTCTTCCAAGGGCACCTAAAGAGTCAGGGTAACTAGTCAGAAGTAGACCTAGCGCTACTTAAACAAAATTTTTCGCCGGTTCCGAATCGAATTTCAAAATATTCAAAGTAGTTCTGGTTCAAAAGTTATAACGTTTTAAGTCCGTTTTAAGCTAAAATTGCCAAATTCAGCCTCGATTACTTTTGCTGTTGGCACCGTGTTTTTTTGAATGTCCCGGTTTTAGAATGAGCACACACCCGTAATCTATGACTACGAGACAAAGACAAGATGGTCGTCCAGCACTGATGACCTCGGTGCAGTATACGGAGCTAAGGATCTGCGCGTTGGGCTGTAGGTTCAATAGCTTGTGCTTAATAATAGAGTTGTTTTCCAGTTATATAGGCAGCGACCGAAAGGTCAGCTTGATGATCCTAAAAAGAGATGATGCATGGGTGAGCTGGCCTTAAATTATCCATTTCCTACATTGTTCTAGACTTCAGTAGCAATGGACTCAGAAAAGGTGGTGGCACTACAACCCGCGTTAATTCAGCATACAATCCGGAGAGTTGTCGCTGCCCCATTTGAAAGTTTGGGCTTCACTTTGGTGGGTGGGGCTTCTGAACCGTCCAATACGAGAATCAAAAAAAAAGCTAGACAAAATTTAAGACCGCTGCCATCGGTGACTACCGCACAACCGTGTTGGTCTACCAGCCGGAAACTGGTGAGACAGCCAAGAGAATACTTTAAATCCAGATTAGAACTGCTGATAGCTGCCAACGAACATGCTGGAGAAAAAAATTACGAAGGATGCTTTGCGATGGTAGTTAATGAAATTTTATACCGAAAAAGGAAAAATTAGGCCCAGACCACAATTGTCAACGGGGTGCGGGTTGCGGTCGCGGCGCTTATTTTGCTAGGAACGGGCACGATGGACGTGCTTGAGCTCATGATCAAAGGCAATGTGGAAGGTATCTCTGCCGTCCTTTGATTATCCCTAAATTAGACCCGGCCGTGCCGGAAGTGCTCATTCGCAGGCGTATCAGGAGCTGCGCCCCGCTGCACGTGCAATGTATTTACATTCCGCAAACGGTAAATGATTTTTATGTTTATGGCGTTTTTGTGAAAAAATTAAACACGAATTAAGGCTTAAGTGTAGTTTACCCCTCCCCCCTCCAGCCGGCACCCATCTACCGTATCTCGGCTCCCTTTTCATCTACAGGTGTTTAAAGTATACCAAAATACTCGCCAGGTCAAGCCGAACATTTTGGTATACTTTACACACCTGTAGATGAACAGGGAAACGAGTTACAAAAGATCGGCGCAGGCTGGGGGGGGGCGTACACCGCACTCTAACCCGAATATAAAAACAGCAGCACCATTTATGCGAAAACTAAAAAAAACGAGATTTTAGTGTTCCCTTAATAGCCATTCTCAAACTTTTATTTAGGCAGAAATGTCCCTCGGGCGCTTCTATCTGTATTATTTGGAGGTTGTCGATGGTATAGGTTCGATGTGTTTGTGCGGTTGTGAAAACCACGGGGCCCATACGCGTGTCGGGTGAGAGGAAACTTGGCAATGCTTATTTGTCTTTAGTCAATGGCTAATGGAACTAACAGACGACCTCCGCTGCATTCACCGCCGCAAAGGCACGGTTATGAAGGAGATTGAGCCGAAGGATTGGCACTTTCAGGTGAGATCTTGGATGAGTCCGGGTCTAAGCGGTACTGGAGTGTTAGCAGGGGGGGATAATTTTTCCAAGTTATCCGGTACGGCCAAATAGCGAAATAACCCTGTTTTACAGCATTTTATACGTTTTTTGGATATACAAAAAAAAACTTATCAAAATATGTCGATGATAATTTTGTAACTTTCTGACAATCCTTAACTACGAAAAACATGATAAAAACACTTAACATTTAGGCTAAAGCGCAAATCCTAAAATTAAGTTCCCCCTGCTAACAGTCCGGGAACTAAAAAACTTTAGATGACCGTCAAACGCTCGCCACACACCAAATTGGTAGATCTCGAAATTTATTATGCGGAGAAGGAATATGATAGCTATTTGGTATACTTGATAAACTCACTAAGCCGTAGCCTTAAGAAATACGCGTGCTGGAATGTGGATAAAGCTAAATTCGCATTCACCAAGGTAGGTTTCTTCGGATTTTGCGAAACGACTTTATCAAGGGCCTACCGCCCTATCAATATTTCGATTACGATGATCGGACGATATCGGTATCAGCAGCTATTATGTTTTTTAAGTTGTGATTTAGGTTTTGGACCAAGAGGACCACGTCAAAGTCAAGGTCCGGAGCACCGATACAGCACTGCCGAAATTGCGAGATTTTGGAAAAGGTAACTTTTCATATTTTATTGCAACGATTTTTTTGCGTACTTTACATATTATTTTTAGGCACAAGCTACTTTCTGCACCGGCGTGGAGAAGCGTTTGTTTGGGTGCTTGCTCAAAAATCCGACGGGACAAAGGTAAATTCAAAAGCTTAGGAAATCTATAAGATGCTCCTAGAATTTCTTCCCGACCACTGGCCTGATGAACGGGAGTTGGTCAAAATCGTACCGTTGCCCGATATTGCGGTTAGTAAAGCTCTGACAAATTATTTGTGTTTCCAGAAACCATGCGGTACTTCACACGTCGCGGCGTTTGCGAATCGCCCGGGTCTGTGGGTGTCTTACCAAGAAAGAATAGCTCGACTATTTTGCCGATATTTCCGATTTGCCAAAGAAAATGATACTGGTGCTTTTGATCGTGCTTTTGTGCATAAAATTAGTGCTTGAGTATAGTTTCTAGAAAAAATTGGAACTGCCTCAAGTAGAGGTCACACTTTCTCTTTGGAGCGTATTGTTGTTGTTATTCTTGTGTTGTAATAAATATGTTGTTCGCGGAAGTGTGACAGGCTCTACGGCGTCACCGATCTTTTGTCCGAACTCTGGGCGCGATGAAAAGTACAGATTCGGGCGACCAATTATCGCGCAACATAAGCCGCGCGGGACGGGAGATTTTCGGTGAAGGTGCGGATTGTCATGTGCAATTTTGAAACAAAATTTTGGGCTGTACAACCTTTTCCAAATTTTTGCGCCAGAATTTCCTCGAGTGCAATTCGTGCCAAGACAGTCAGTCCAGCCCTCGGCGGATGGCAGACCGGGGCTTCCCGCCTTGCTTGCTACCAAGGACCGCCCTCGTTTCTGTGATCATCGAAGGGGAATTGTATTTTGTGTCCGGTACGTTCATTATCTATCGCGTGAAGGGCATCTGTGCTCGTAGGTATCGGCCACTACTTAGAATTTCTAAAGGCCAGTGATGTCTACCGGCTTCCTCCATTCGCCTCGCAACAGCGCCTCTACCAGCTATTTTCGCGTGGCGAAGAGATCGTGCACATCACTCTGCTGAAAAACCTACCTTTCGGGATGTGTAGGTCTTTAATTTCTACCTTGGGTCTCGTGATGGCCAGGATCAAGGGAGGACCTGCGCTTCGCGCACCAATTTTCGCAGAGTGCTGTAATCCCTCTGCATAAAGCGTCAAATTTCCTCAACCTTTATTTAGCCCCTATGCTTTTCATCTTGACAAGATGCTTAAAGTATGCAATTCTTACGGAGCTTCCCGCCTACCTGAAAGTTATAGAAAGGTGGGTTCGAAGAGCACCGGTATCCAGATTTAGCGCACCGTACGGCACCGTGTTGCCACAATTCCCCTGTGGCGAGGTCCGTGACCTCACAAAAATGGCGAGAAAGTGTGATCTCTCACGATATAACTTCCCTCTGAACCGGAAATGGATTTTTGGGCTGAGTCCCAGCACGACCGAGCTAATTGTGAGTGTACCGGGCTTGTTTTATTTTGGCGTCAGTTGTATGGACCGATTATTCTGAGGGTAGCGAATGTTTGTGATGAGGGCCGGGAAAAAGTGAGCGCCGTGGCCTCTCCATCGCTACGATCAAAAGAGTAAGAGATTAAATCAGTAACTCACGTATTTTTCGAAATGTTGGCCGCTCGGTTGCGCACGTGCATAATGGTGGCTACGCCTATTACATCGAGTTTTCCAACGAGGTTGTTTACATGCAGGATGAGAAAAGAATTGGTGGCAGATACAAATGGATACAGGTGGGTTTCATTTTAGCGCAAATCGCGCCTTAATTGCAGCCAAAAGATGAGCGAATTGATGGCTGGGACATTCGCGTTTATGATGACCACATTTTCATTGCAACGGCGTTTAAACTGGTCTATATCAATGGGGCCTCGGGGAAGGTGTGCCATTGTTGCTTACAATTGATTTTGACGCACTACTACAGGGTGCCCCGAAAAAAAAGACATCTCGTCTACCTTGGCGGAAAAGGGTCAACTGCCAGCGATAGTTATACCATTCGAAAGCTCTTGAAAGCCCTTGCATAAATCTCTATGAATATGTTTCTATAAAAACGTGTCATTTTATAATGAGTTCAAAAAATCAGGGAACGGCCTGCATCGAATTAATGGCTACTTCCGGGCATTTTGCTTCAGAAACTTGAGGCAAACGGCTTGTATGTACCCCCGAAAAACCAGCAAATCTGCGAAATGGCTTGTAGAATAGCGTATCAAATCAAAAATGGTCTCGAAAATTTTTGCCAATTCGTCAGTTCAAGGGCTTCGAATGGTGTAACTATCCTTCGGATCCGATAATTCTAGGAGTTGGAGAGGGGTGTGTTTTTATTGGGACATCCTGTATGTTCTATATGTGCGTTACGCATTGTGCGACAAAAACCAGCTCCAGATCAGCGAAGCCAAGATCTGCGACACGCTTCCAAAAGGAACAATGCCAAATCGACATCTGCGACTTGGTGTATTGATGTTCCTCGGTCGGACCGTATACCTTGTCCTTGTATCGGTTGATGGTAAACCAACTCTCTCATCAATACAGAGCGTGTTAGATGTATTCCTTTATTTTCAAGTGGTTAATGACCGGATCACCTTCGTGTTATTTATGAACCCCGGGGTCGGGCGGATCACGTGCATGGATGGGGCGACGAATGAGTGGATGGTGACGGCATTTCCACGCCATTCATAAAAGGTCTTAAAGACGCTGGGTGGGATCAACGGTGGACTTACTCATATCGAACTGTCGTCGCTGTACCGGGAAAATCCAGTCACTTGCGAGATGGTTCCGCCGAGTCCTTCGACTCTCGGGAAGGTTCGTGAGTTCCGAAAATTGCAATACGTTTTTGTAAAGTCGTGTGATAGTTCCCAATGCCTTACACTTTTGAAATTTTCAAACTTAAAAGCATCTACGATATCCTATTTCGCATATTTTTGGGGTTTCTGTGGGGGTGCGTGTGATTGCTACTTTCGAGGCCCGATTTGAGGGCTGTTCCGTGCATAAAATGTCCTGATCATCCGTCACTCAGGGGAATCGTCCTTCCTATTTCCGGTGGCCTTTCCAGAATTTTGGCAAAACAGTAGCTTGCCAAGCTAAAATCTGTTCTGATCAATTGGGGATCCCCGGGTGCTGATTCGCCTAAAGTTAAAAAATTCCCTTGTCTATGCAATTTCCACCTGCAAGGCCGTTTTTCAGCTCTATTTACAAAGTATTGTCCTAGATTCTGGATACGAAACGAGCCATGGTCATCTATTTTGGATGGTGGGCGGTGGATCAAAATCTGATTATCGTTTAGCTGCGTCGGCAACTGGGAATCGCTGAAGCCCCGGCATCCTGAGCTCGAGCAAGACTTTTCAATAGAAGAAGTCCTCGCGTTTAATCAATACTACCAATCATTTGTCGTGCGGCGACGCGGCCAGCGGGGAATTCACCATGCCCAGATCGTTTACGAACTGAACGACGACGACAAACCTGGTGACTTATCTTTCAGGGCTTTTCCTGACCGGAGCAGAACTATTCATGTAAAGTTCGCAGTAAGCAACAGTCCTTTACAGCTTACCAACTAAATTTTTTGGATCATATGGCGATCGATTACGAGCCAGAAGTTGATTATTGCCTACCGACCAAACAGCTCTACGCCAGCGGAGCACCAGCATTGTAAGCCTTTCCACCCAGATTCGGTTCCGCTTCCGAAGGTTTATAATTTATTAGATTCTAGGGATAAACTGATTATTGACTCACCAAGCATTTTACTTCGTCGTTCGCTAGAAAATGGGTGGGCTATTCAGGTAGGTAGGAGTCGGGACGCAACTAGATCGTTTCAGCTAATTAACCTCCGCGAAAATCTCCTAGAATATATCGACTTAATGTTTGTGAATGACCCTCAAAGTGCGCCCGAATAGGGCTCCATCCAAAATCAAAGCCGTGTTTTTACATTGGAAAAATTCGGCTCACATCATAATCGCTCATGGGTGGGTTCGAAGGGTTCCTAAGCCTTGTCTTAAAACACTTTAAAACCTTGCGAACCTAATTTTTCAGCAGTTTGCTCTATTTTTCGAACTCGCAGAAAGCTTCCAAGATTGCCTGCATGCAAAGTGACGAACCGCTGAAACAAGGTCGGGAATTAGCCGCCAATCAAAACCCATGCAAAGACCTCGAAATTGTCGACCTGGCTTATATACCATCAGAGCAGTATCTGCTTTGTTTGCTTGGGAACGGCACCGTGATCACATTCGGATGCATCTGTAAGAATGGTGAGTAATATTGATATCTAACTGTAACCGTTTTTTGCTGATCGTGGGATTTCGATACGTCAGATAGCACATTTTGTGCGCAATTTTTTGCTGATTCCGAATCCGTTTTCCAAGGTTCCAAAAAAACCCCCTCTAGATAAAAAGTTACAGCCGGTTTTCTACCCCAAATGACCAAAAATTACAAACTTTCAATCCTTATAAAAGCCCGTGGAATATTTTGTGGGATAAAATACAGCATTCCTAGGGGTATAAATAAACACGTGCTCTTTCGAATCGGCTACCTCACGAATTCGTAGCTCAAAGTTGACAAAATTTCAAAAATTGGCCATCCCGGGCTTAGATCCACTGAAAAACTTTTTTTTCATGGATTTTAAGCTACGGGTTCAAGAGGTAGCCCATTCGAAAGAGCAGGTTTTTTACCCCTAGAAGTGTTGTATTTTATCCCACAAAATATTCCGCGATTTTTTTTGATGAATTTAAAGTTTTTAATTTTGGGGATTTGTGGTAGAAAACCGGCTGTAACTTTTTATCTAGAAGGGTTTCGCAACTTTTGAAAACGGATTCGGGATCAGCGAAAAATTCTGCACAAAATGTGCTATCTCACGTATCGAAATCCCACGGTCAACAAAACGGTGACAGTAAGCACTTATATCAACTCGAAAGTTTTTTTGAATGATTTTTTTTGATTTTTGAACCATTTAGAAACACTGTCAATTACCCAATTGAGCTGGAGCAAAAACCCATACATGGAGCGGGCGATGGGATTCTTCAGCACTGAAGACTACCTGACTGTGGTAGGATATCACCGCGGCTTTTCAGGGGATATCCTAGAGTTTTCGGGTTACCATTAGTTGCTAATTTTTTCATTTAGCTTGCTGGTATCGCAAGAGGTGCAAATCCGCTGAATGAGAAGGTAGGGTGTTATCTTATTGGAGCTCAATATTCTAACATAAGGCCACGTCAATTGTTCTATACGACCATCAGACCGAGACCCTCATCTGCACTTCCGTGAAGGATTATAGCTTGCTGGTTGAGGGGGAACGCAGATTTTATTCAATGTGGGTTCCGCAGGATCACTTTCAGGAACTTTCAGAACCGTGTCGACGAACCATAGTCAAAACTTCCTTTGTTGCACATTTGGCACCAACGACGAGATTTCCGTAAGCATAACCTGGCATTTACTTTTAACTATTAAAAGCTGTAACCAAACGATATTTTCCTGAGCTAAAGAGACATAAAAGCATGGCTTGACGTTTGGAGCGCAGGTGCAGGTACAAGTCTTGCCGCATAAATGGGTGCCGCCGTGCTTTCCGCGGCGCGACCTGAACTTGCGCTTTTAGGGCGTACACATCGAGGACGTTATCGTCGAAACAAGAAGGCTTCAACGCCCACTCTACCTGCACAGTGTCAAGAAGATGGTCTCCAATCATCTGGAGGCTTATGGACTTTCACTAGTCACGCCAGAGCTAGGAGAAACCTCATACATTTTTTAGGTCGCTGCAATCGGTAGCCAGGTCTCAATTTTCGCGTATCAACCGGGGCCAGGTGAGCGCGCCAGCTGATTACGAACTATACAACAATTTTCTTAGAGATTTTTCTGAAAGTGAATGAGCATAGTTGGTCTAAAGAATATTACGATGGGACATTTGCAAATGTGCGTGAATAAATGAATGAATTTTCAAAAAGTCTTTTAAGACGCGGGAAGCAACCTCGAATGGTCGTCGATTTCTCAAGTCCACATTGTTTCTTTTATCGTCTGAGGGCGTTGAAGTTTTAGACCTTATTATCAAGGGAACAGTGTTCGAACTTGAAAGATCACCGGGTAGGTTCATGAAGAAAAACATGACGCTTTATAAAACCCGCGTCGAGTTTTTGGGCAAAAAGACCTTGCCGTAGGGTTGCTATTAAAATAAATTCCGTATACTCGGAATATACAGGGTGTCAAAATAAAAAATCGCCCTCGGCACGCCCGCACCCAGCCCTGTAACGTCGGGGCCCCAAATGATCATTTTTCAGCAAATTAGTCAAAATCGGCATGCTAATTGCGAAAACGGTCAAAAACCATTGCCAACATTTCCAAAAAAATACGTTTTTTCGTTCCAACCTTTTTGTTTGACAATATTTTGCTTAGACAATGGGCTGCAGATAGTTTTTATGGGTGGAAGATAGAGGGTGGCCAACTGCCGAGGCGCGGTTTTTATTGAGACACCCTGTAGTGGTTAGCGTTTCGTAGATAATTTCGGAGTTAGGCATCTGCAACCGTCAATAAAACTTTAGCCATCCTTCTGCCAGAAGTCATAATAACGAAACGAACGATATTCACCAACCTATTTCTTGCCGAGAGCCTTGAAGATTGGCAAATTTGCACGATTACCTCCGTAAGTTCTGAAAATTAAAAAACCAAGCGAAATTCTAACAAATACAAAATTCTAGCTCTGGGCATGGACAATCAGCATTAAAGGGAGTTTCGTATCCAAGGTCTCCGTAGCAAAGTTCGAAAACGGGGCTTGCGTTAACCGCTTATCTAGTGGTAGACTTAGGCGTTTTCAAATTTCCTATCCGTGAATTTGCTTTTACCTTATAAGAAAAGATATAGAAAATTTCGAATTAAAGGTCCAGCCCAGTCCATTGTCAATTCTCTATTTATAGAAAACAAACGAAGAAGGGCTCACAATCCTATTTTTCGTTGGCCGATGTTTCGGAGAAGGCGCCACGATCCTTTATGCATTGTTTGAACGCGTTTTGTATCTATCCGTTAAATTTAGCGCCATTTGCCATGACGGCGACAGCTTTCTATCGAACGAATGTGTCGCAAGGGGAAGCTTGCCCGGGGATTGGATCAAAAATCCGATGCAGGTAGCGCAACGACGAGAATGTAGCAACCGTCATATCAGCTAAACCCGCAGCGATCGATGCTAGATGATGGGACCGAGGAGTTTTCTCTGGACATAGTTATTGAAGGAGATCCGGAGCACACCCAGACGGCGGTTGGTGTTCTCGTTTACAGTATATCATAGCAGCTTTAAGAAACGATCGACTTGGAAAGCCGGGGAGGCCGAGATTGAGTTTCAGCCGGTTTGTCAGTCAGCACGAACTTGATTTTGGTTTAGACAAAAAACCACGTGCGACATTTAAATCTGGGCGCAAAAACCGTTGCGGTATTGATTTTGACCTGATCAAGTGCCTTATTGACCTGTATTTTAGTTAGTGGACAAGGAAACTTACTACGATGTCACGCTGAGTCTGGGTTTCGCCTTACCGCAAAGTCGTTATTTTTTCCCGCAAGGTAGGTTGATGGGAAGGAAAAAATTACATGGATCAACAGGGATCAGTCATCTTTTGGTGCGCAAGAAGAAAGAGTATTGTTTTGTGGCTATACGTGACAATAAGGTCGAAGAGAAAGGTGGATTGGACTATAATAGGAAGTGCCCATTTCAGAATTACCACGTCCTTCACGGGCTAACAGAACTACACGATCGTTTCGGAGTGAATCAAATCGCACATATATCCGAGTAATTAATCCATTATCTTTAGTCAGCCACTCCCTAGTGATCATGGGATGGTCTACTCGAAAGATGGGTTCCACATCGTCCGCATATGCGGCTGCCAAAGCGACCGCCTAATTGCCGTCCGTCAACCCGTTTCGGATAGTAACAAACCGTCAAACAAATAAATATAACATTCGTCGTTTTCATCAGATTTTTGTGTGATGGTTCTAACTATCTCGTGATAAGTACAATAAAACATGTACAAAGATCTGCCGAACCCGATTTAACCCGATGCAGCTGATGCTGCACAATTGGCTATTAAGGAGGTCGGAAGCAGCTGAAAAAATTGACGATTTTAGGGTTTACATTCGTGAGGGCGGAAAGTGCGGCATTGTGCAAGCAATTACCCCCAAATAAATAGGCCGAAAAGTGAGACCCGAGGCGTTTTTGAAGGCCCGTTGCCATGAAAACTAGGGCCGCGTTTCATCCCCCCCCAAAAAACATTGGAGCCTTTGTAGGCTGGACATTTTTTGGGGTTTGCGGACCGAGCAGCAGTTATCCAGAAATATCTTCCTTTTTTGACGGGGAATCTGCGTTTAATAATGGGTTTTGTCACCTTTAAATAGACATCGTAACGAAATCAGCCGAATATCTATCTATGGCTTCACTTCCGGACGGGAATAAGAGGCTTCAGTGCGATATGGGACCGTTATTTCCCCCCTGCTTATTGCCAAGAACCGCCGTCATCTCATTAACCTTAGAAGGGGAGCTGTATTTTATATCAGGTGCTTAGAACTATATTGCTCTAAACTTCTCGGCTTTAGGCGTCGGTCACTACCTTGAATTCCTGAAGGCAAAAGATGTCGGTCGTTTGCCCCCCCTTTGCCTCGCAGCAGCGCCTCTATCGTGTTTTTGCGCCGGGCGAAGAGATTGTGAGCATCCTGCATGCGCCCGCCTTAAATAGTATGGGTTTGTCAATATAAACCGGATGGGTGACAGCGGCTTAAAGAACTGATTCGCTTCCAGCAGCCAAAATCCTTGATTTAGTGGAATTGCTGGTTGTCGTCTCGAGGAGCTTGAAATATGCAATTCTGTATGAGTTGCCGCTGCATCTAAAAACAGTTGAAAGGTGCGTCCCCTCAACACATCCTTGAAACTTAAAGGAATGGGGAAGGCCCAGAAAATAAGCATAAAGCCGGTTTTAACTTAAAAATTAGCCCAAAAACCGTTTCTGCCCCCTCTCCTCGAGGCCCACTCACCCCGAATTTTGAATTTCATTTTCATTTATTGAATTTCCGGTGGGCAACTTGTCAATTGTAGATGGTCCCTGATCTACGTAGGCCTTCCTTATCCCCTTAAGTGCGCCGGACCGAAGGATTCTGCCGCTTCTGCCCTGCTACCAAACTCGCGACCTGCTCAAACCCGATAAGAAGTCCGAGTTCGGACGGTACAATTTTCCTCTAAATCGTAGATTCACGTGGAGTGGACGTTCCGGAAAGACCGATCTATTGGTGAGGTATCTAGGTAGTTTATCGCGCTTTAGCTTTTGGGCCCGATTATCCTCAGAGTTACGGGGGTTTTCGGAGAACGTCCGAAGTTAACCGCCACCGCCTCGCCTGCACTGCGATCAAAAGAGTAAGCTCGCAACAATCTGTGGTGTATGTATCTTAGAAATGTTGGTCGATCGATAGCGGCTTTCGCTAAAGAGATGTACGTCTACTATATTGAATTCTCGAACGAGGTGGTTCTGGTAAAAGAGGTGAAAAAGGTTGCTGGCAGATTCAAATGGATTCAGGTATGTCACTTTCATTCAGGCCAAAGGGTCCCCTCCAGCCCGAGAGCCCCCGAGATACTAGTTCTGGGGGAGGAGGCGCAGGCCAAAAGGGGCCAGAAGGGCGCGCAATAGGCGGCTGGGGGGAGGGTCTCCTAGACACTTACCTTCATTCAACTTTGCCCGTTGCCAACGCAGGCAGGACCATGGAAACAACTTAGTTTAGCCACAAAATGAGGCAATCGATGGTTGGGATATCGCACTTTATAAGTCGCATATCTTCATAGCGACCAAGTGCGCGCTCGTCCACATCAACGGCCTCTCCGGAAAGGTGTGATCTAATGCATCCTTGTCCTCCATAGCCACGCGCAAAAAACCCTATGTCAGGGAACCAAAAATACTTGATAGAACTGCGTCGCGTAGCAGGCTTCCTCCCACTAACTCCACATAAAGCTCGATTTTTTAGATAAGCGAAGCGAAGATATGCGAGCACCTTGAGGATGGGGAAAAGCCCAATCGACACATTCGGATGGGCATGGTAGCCGTGGACGGACGTGAGGTCATCGACATTTTTGTGTCGGTTAATGGTAGGCATCATCCTTACATTCTATTAGCTCATTTAGACGTGTTTCACTACCTAAAACTTGTCGACGATGCTATAGTGTTGATTTTATTTATCAACCCGGGAGTCGGACGTATCACCTGCTGGGATGAATACGGACCGCCTTGGCTGGTAACTCGATGTAACTAACGCTACCTGATTAAGGTCGTCGGTGGCGTAAATGGCGGTCTAGCACAAATCGATCTCGAGTCCATGTATCGGTCAAGACCGGTGATTTACGAGACGGTCAAATCTTGGGCCTGCTCAGGGCAAGAGGTCAACAGATTTTCAACAGCAAAGCGAACCAATACCGCCTTGATCTTTAACCATTAAAAAATTAAAATTGAAAGACCGAGAACTGCGGCGAATCGTTTCTCGAAAAATGTTGAAATATTTCGTGAATCATGGATTGTTGAGGTCTGTAGTACATTTGAATGTTGGTTTTTAGCTCCTCCTGAACCCCAATCGGATCCCCGTGACGCAGTTCAATGGGTTTGGGTTAAAGATATGCATAACATAGCTTACCATTAGCGTTGTGGCGAACCTGCACTGCCTGACAAGACGGCAGGACCCAGACCTTGTGATCCCGTATGCTATCGACCACATCTTCGATTTCAACCAACATTACCGAATCTTTCTTTTAACCAGGGCAGGAATGGAAGGAATTCGCTACGCAATCTTTGAGGAATCACTCGTTGAATGTAGGTCGTTTCTACATCAGTAGCTTCGCTTTTCCACGAATCGTTGAAAAATTTGCGCGCGAAACGTCTGCGCCTCGGAGAGGGCGCGCTCTCTAATCGTAATCGTTTATAATTAATTGGAAAACCGACGCTGCTGAAAGTTCCTCTCTAAATGATTTTGCGGTGGGAATATGTATTCCTCTCAGTTACTCGGCTTCTCGATCTGAATCACTTCATCTTATATGAGCGGCTCTCGAATCCTTATTGCTTACCAACGTCATATGACTACACCTCGGATCCTTCTACACCGTAAGGTTTCGATTCTTTGGCCTTTTTCGGATTATTAATTGGAAGGAAATGCAAAAAAAACAGCTGCCGATTTATAAATTTTTATAGCAAAATCAATCCCGGTTCGTTCAACGCGGGGTTCTTAAAATAGCACTTGTGGAAACACAGTTCGTCAGGTCCTGCATCCCCCGCCTAAAAATTATCCGATTTGCCGATCATTTGTTGTTTTGTAGAGTCGGATTGCTGCTGGACCGTCCAGTCATCTTGTGTGCCTATTTGGATGAGGGTAGCACAATCTTCTACCAGGTGATTCTCGTCACAGCTGTTAAGCTTCTAGACGACTTTGACGACTGCCATGCCGTATGGTGGCGTAGTCTCCACTAAACGTATGGGGGAATTGCGTGGTGCGGAAGGCAAACCGCCAACGAGCAAAATGAAAGCCGTAATATTGAGAGATGGCGATGAAACACATCTAATTCACACCTGGGGGTGGGTTGACAAGCAGAACAGGCTAATAGCGTGCTGATTGTGCGCAATAAGGAATAAGCAAATCCAATAGTAACACAGTTGCCACGCGCAGTTCGTATTTCTAGGACACGATTGATGTATCGGGGCGTCGATGATAGTTACCGTACTATAGAGTGCATGCGTGTGGATGGCCAGCGAAGGAGGTAGGCGATTTCGTGCTAATATAATTGGAAAGAGATATTTTCTTAAAATTTTGTCTCAGGGAGCACGAAATCATTGATCTGCTTTATAATTCGTCCGAGCGAGCGCTGATGTGTCTGTTGTGCGACGGAACTGTGTGTACTTTTGGCTGTACAGTTAAACATGGTTAGCGAATTTACCGTCAGTTTGTGCTATCATGAATTATTTAGCGGGTGCCACGAACTTTGCGGCCCGAGTTAAACCTTTACTGAAAAATTAGCCTAGCGTTCCCGTTCTCGCTAAGCCAGCGCACCTCTTGAAGTTCTCGGTGGGAGCTCAAAACGGGACCCAGTCCATTTTTGTGCAGAATTTTCGCTGAGTCCAAATTGGTTTGCAAAAACCAGAAAAAACGCTATTGAACGGGCTACTTAGTTAGAATCGTTCGGAACATTAAAAAAATTCCCGTGAGTCCAAAATGAGTTCTATAAACTTTAGAACTATTCAACCAAAATTATTTGAGCAGTTTCTGGAAACAAATTTTGAATCAGCAAAAAATTGAGCTTATCTGAGGCTAGGCCCCGTTTCGAAATCCTACCGCGACTAAAAGCTTGCCTTCCAAGCTCTTGCTGGCGAAGTTTGAAGCTGCTAGAGCAAAAATAATTAGCATTTTTGGTGCTAACGGGCCTAACATAGCGTAACTGCATGCCGCAAAGCTCGCAAGGCAAATTCTTGCCGTCAAGCCAAGCTTGTGGAGCAATTTAGGCGGGCTATCCCTCACGCCACTACGTTGCTCCAAAAACCCATACATGGATCGGGCGATCGGATGGCTTCATCTTCGGTCCTTTGAGGCGGTGGTAGCTAAGCACTCACACGATTTTTAAAATTTAGTTTAGGTTGTCGGTTTTGCCTACGGCACAAACCCGCTGAACCGACAGGTGATTTTGTGAACAGTATGAGCCTTTCAAGCATTGATTTGAGGCTTGGTCGATCGTCCTCTACGATCAAGTTACCGAGACGCTGATCTGCACATCGGTTAAGGACTACAGTCTACTCCATGAACCGGAAAAGAGATTCCATGGAATGTAGGTATTTTCCGGTGACTATCAAAATTTTCCAGAAGTTACGGCACGTTTCGCAAGATGCCGGTGCTCCACTGCACTATCGGTCACCACGATGAGGTCGCTGTAAGTGGTTTGTATTGTAGGCAGTTCTGTTCCCGACGCTATCACGTGAAACCTTTTTTTCTGAATTCTTTAAGGGATTCTACATGGAGCCTATCATACCGAAGATCACACAGCTACAGCGTCCGTTATTTTTGCATAGTGTAAAGAAAATGATCAGCAATTATCTCCAATCATATGGATTTTCGCTGGTAACAGGAACTTACCGCAAAACAAAAAAATACTTAGGTTGCCGCAATTGGAAGTCAGGTATCCATCTTCGCATACCAGCCAGGGCCAGGTTTCTGCTGATCGCCAGGACATACCAAGGATTTTAGAGATCTTCATGAAAGTGAATGGACATAGCCTGTCGAGAAATTATTACGATGGGGCTTTTGCAAACGTAACTTCTTGTCTCATTGTGCAACATTTATCTTTCAAGGCGGCGTTTTTTGGTGGCAATCGGGTTTCGGCAGGGCGCCAAGCCTAAGTTGTACAGAATTTCGTTCTGAGTGCAAATCTGTTCTCAAAAGCTGGGAAATCCTACTATATATAAAAAATAGTGTCTGTGTGTGTGTCTGTGGACACTTTGCATAAATCGCTCGAAAAAACCGGGTTACCAAGATATCGGGAAGGGGGAAGCATTTTAGGGCTCAGTCGAAAGGTATTTAGGGGTAGTCGAGGGCGTAGATTACTGAAAGCTTATCAGATTTTTAATAAAATGACGCATTAGACCCTATTTTAGCGATTTAAAAACATATGGAAATATCCTCATTTGCATGCGAGGGGCTAGGAGGCTCATTTCGGAATTTATCAAGCTCGCGCCCGGTTGCTTTTGCTATTTTTGGGTTCGCTCTAGCTCTTCGTCCGAATTATGCAAAGCCCAACTTTTAAAGATTCCCGCGCAAAGGCCAGGGTTAAAAAGCCGCGTAGCGGCTGTTCAACCCTGGTGGCAGTTTAAAAAAAGTTATGGAAGTTTGCAATGCTAAAAATTCCAAAATGACCCAACGTCGACAAATTTTTGCCTTCTTCGATCCATCAACTTAAAACCTTAACTTTTTTTGTAAACATGACTCGGAATCAGCGCAAAATTCTGCACAAGATAGGCTTTGTCCCGTGCGGAAAGCCGATTATCAGAAAAAAGTCTCCCTGTTAGACCCGGGAATCCACTGCGAATGGCCACCGTTTCCTGAGAACTACATTGTTCCTGCTGTCATCTGAGGGCGTTGAAGTCTTGGAGCTGGTCGTCAAGGGAACAAAGTTAGAACAGCCGAAAGATTGTGCTGGTGGGCTGCGCCCTAAATTTTTACTATTCAAGCCAGTTTTTTCAGAAATTGTGCTACCGGAAGTTATTATACCAGACCGGGCACTTTTTCCCAACCTATTTGTGGCCGAGAACCTCGTCGCTTGGCAGATTTGCTCAATCAATTCCGTAGTTTTCAGACCAGTTTAACTAAACCCTTCCACTCGCTTTATTTTTTTGACTAATATTTATTTCAGAAATCCAACGAAAAAGGGGCGGTTGTTTTATTTTGTGTTGGCCGGTGTCTGAAGGACGACATCACTATTTTCTACATATTGTGGGAAAAGCGTTTACCACCTGTTTATTGTTGTATTTAGCTTTTTGATCTACAACACGGACAGTTTTATGACCGACGAACGGAAAGTTTCTAGGGGATGCTTGACCGGGAATTGGATCGAAAATGCCATGCAGGTCGGTGCCCAAATAGCGACATGGAACGGATTCAGTTGAATCCCCAACGTTTTATGCTTAACGATGGCACCGAACAGTTTTCGCTGCAGCTTTTTATCGATGGCTGCCCGGAGCGGAACCAAGAATCGGTATTGCATTTCTGAATGAACTCCTAGGCATTTAGATGCGAGCCACCTGGGAAGTCCCCAACCCGGATTTTGAATTCCAAAGGGTTGGTTTGATGATGCCGCACTGGAATTGTTTTTTTAGGCTAAGGAAAACGTCTTACACCTTAACCTTGGCACAAAAACCGTTTCGGTATGCAAGCAGTAGGTGGTGTACCACATTAATTTTAGCTAGTCGACAAAGAAAGTCATTATGTTGTTGCGCTGAACCTAGGTTCCGCCATGCCCCAAAGCTCGTTGATCTGTGCGTCAGGTATGCTCAAATTTATCGAAACTGATTTCAAACTTCCGCGCAGGCATTTATCATGTGCTCGTACGTCGGCAGAAAGAGTATTGTTTTGTGGCTTTGCGGGACAATAAGTCAAAGAAAAAGGTATAAATCTTATTTAAATTCCGAGGAACTTGGGCTTCAGAACTACCACGCGGTGCATGGACTCATCGAACTGCACGCAACTTACGGCATGCACCAGCTCACGCATATATTTGAGTAAGAAGGGTACCTTAAGGTGTCGGTGGAATTGGCAACGGGCCTAGCCTATTTTGTGCAGAATTTTTTGCTAATTCCGAACCCGGTTTAAAATATTGCAAAATCGCGGATTGAAAAATTATGAAAGATTTAAGCTGATTTCGGCCCAGGTGATTTGCCATGGTGCCGTCTTTTTTTCATTGTAATGTAATCTATTAAGCGGGGCCTATCTCCTAGATTTTTCCAAATTCGAAAGGTATATTTTGTTAAATCTCTGGCTGCTTCTAGTTTTTCCTGCGGCCTCATAGAAAAATTAGATCCCTTGCCATCGATAAATTTTCAAATTTCGAACTAAGAAGCTCATTTGATAAAAATTTTTTAATACGATCATCGATATTCGTTTTTTAAGAAGTACCAGCGCTGACCCCCCGCTACGCGGGGGTTCAACGCTGGACCTCCCCCAACAATTTGAATTTGCGATTTGAATGCAAAATTTGGCTGAATTCCCGGCCGGACGGACGTCGGGCAGACGGACATTAGAAATTTATATATAGTAGATTCCGGGAAACAAAAATATGTAAAAAGATAGCTTTGGGAACTTACTTGGGGAACGGACCTAAAAATAGAAATAAAAATAATAAAAATAATAAAATAAATTTCAAAGCCGATTTGGAATCCGTCAACAATTCGGCACACGTTGGGCTGTGCTCCGTTTTCGAGGTCCCATCGGAACCTTGAAAAATTCTCTAGCAACATTCTGATTCAGCGACCATGGCCTGGTCTACTCGAGGCACGGGCTTCACATCCTGCGACTATGCAGTTGTCAAAGCGATTCAATGAGCGATTACTCGGTCATCACCCGATTAGGGGAAGGTGCTCTGCTGGTAGAGCCTGCTGCCGAGCCCCCTATATTCATTCAAGAAGAAGTGCCCATGGAGATTTTGATTGAGCAGTTTCGATCATCATAAATGGAAAACTTACCATACTGTCAATCAAGCGTGTTTGTAGATGTAAATAAAGTTTTGACGGAAAGCATCGAAATTTTTATACATTGATCAAATATATCCGTGGTTCAGCTATCACCCTCAGATTCTTTTACTTTTTGGTTGATTTAGACAGGGACACCGTCGGAGGATATGAAGCGCTTCCGGCCCGTACACGATCGCGTCATTCCTAAACATTTTTTTGATCATTCTCCCGAAATGCGTTTTGAAAAGGTCGTATTTCCCTGGAAGTACTCACTCAAAAAGCTGCACAACTTCGTTGATGCCAAATCTCTTATGCAGCGCAAAAGGTCGCTTGTCGGAGTGATACCCGGCACGGAAGGCTTGTATGCATTCTTGGAACAAATTGCCTTGGGCCGGGTTGTGCAGCGACACCCAACAGTATTCATCCTGGCGCCGATGAAGAACGTGGATTTTTGCTTAATTTAAATATTCGGTGATACAGTCCGTCCTTCAAAAAATCATCCTACATCAAAAATAGTTTCTGTATGTGTGTTTGTGCCAGTTTGCATGCAACTTCTGTCAGGTTGTCCGGAGGGTATCTCGAAGGGGGAAGTTTTTTAGATACGTAAGATACGTCATTAGGTGCGTAACGTTCAGGAGATGATGCACGCATCTAAGTTTGAAGAAAATCACCTATTTTTGACATTAAACTTTAGTTTTTGTTGAAAAATCCCCCTCTTTGTTAGGAATCAATTAGCATCCACCGGAAATGGGGGTAGCCTATATAAAGGAGCAGAGAGCGCATTTTTACTTTCTTTCAGCGTGGGTCGGGCCGAATTATGTAAAGTGTAAACTTATTGGTCCAGAACGGGGCCAGGGATGAAAAGTCGCGAAGCTTCTTTTCAACCCTGGTTCCCATTAAAAAAATGCCTCTGTCGAAGTGAATCCATAATTACCTTGGTCGGGGCCGACGTCCGGTGCGAGCAACCCGTATTGATTGACACACTTGATTTCAAAATGTTTTTTCTTATCGGTTATCTAGAAAGGTGACATGATGGATTTGGGACTGGCCAACACTACCAAGGCGTCGAAAAACCCGAACTTGTAATGACGGTCGACCCAGGGATGTGACTCAAATGCGGCTGGTTCATCCGTGTCCAGTTGCCAGAACCAGGCACGCTTAGAAGTAATTAGGTAAACAACTCATGAAAGTACCTCGGAAATGTGACCAGTTTTCGGATCCTTGGAATCTTGCAAAATGACAGCACCGGACGTTATGCCGCCGTGGAAATATAGCTGTAAACTTTCAGAATAGCCAAATAAACTAATAGTAGCAAACATTAATAGGTAAATTCTTTACGTCACTTATGCGTGCGTGCTGATTATGCTACGCTATTCTCAGCTCCAGAAGACTGCTCAATACCTGCATCCTGGCGTCCATGTGATTTCCAGGCAATTTGGCTTTCAGCAACTTATTCGGATGAATTCTGGACTTCAGAGCATCGTTGGGATCAAAGAATATTAGCCTGTAAACTTTTACATCTGGAAGGCATCTGGACTTTCGGACTGGGATTTGGACAACTTTGGTATTCGTAGGTGGGGATCACGCGCACCTCATTATCGTTGCAAATTTTCGGCCGGATTCAGACTCAAAAATGGAATTTTATAAAGCGACCAGAGGGCCTCCCGCCCGGCAACATTGGGTTTACTTCCTTTTACTCTACTCACCCGGCAGAAAACAGCGTGCTGTCACCCTCGAGACGTTTTTCACACCAAAACATCTCGTGCTGGCTGTGTGGTAGAAGACCTTCCAGAGGCTGGTCCGTCTCTTCGATGGCTGGCCGGGAAGCGATTCGCATGTTTTTGAAATTATCGGAAAAAGGCAAATTCATGCTGGCACGTCGGGTCCAGATCATGATGCGGGGGAAATAGATGACTGAAAATCCTTGGTGATTGCAAAGCAGTGTCCCACCTTTCCTATTGGAACCAGTACCCAATTGATGTTCCTGGCCATTAACAATCAGCTCCAGGATCTCGAAGCCTTCGCTCGAAATTAAAACCATACGCGCTCGTATGTTAGGGACCTGGCGGTTGTAGACGCGCTCAGCCTTGGCAAGGGTTATTTTATGAAAACGGTCTATTGTTACTGTGAAAAACGCGGCATCATAATACTCCATAGCCCAAGCGTGGTGATTGGCGTCCACGATGGTTTCTGCAAAGCGTTGCAGGGGGATGAATCGTTTGTGCTACCTGTCGTCGGGTCGTACACCAAAAATGAGGCCTTGTTTCCCAACGCGACCAGCTAAAACAATTCATATAAATTAATTCATTTTGCTTGCAATGATGAGGCCGTGCACGTCAGCATTTGCCGTCACAATCTTTCGCACTTTCTGCTGAATTAGAGGCCGTTTCACCACCGCGGTCTCGTTGATTGGCTCGCAGTATGCATTCTGGAAAGACGACTCGCAATCGACAACATGAAACCTACGGTTATCTGGCCGTCCTTTCCATAATAGCAATTGATCGAAGTATCACTGAGCAGGCTAAAAGCGGAGTTTCGGAAAAATTAAATTAACTTACACTCCCAAAAATTTGTGTTTGACATTGAACGTTTTTTGATAGTCCTTTGTTGAGGTAAAGAGTAGACGATTGTTTTTCATATCATAGAGAACCAGGGAAACAGCCTAAAAAATCCAGGTGAAAAGCATGCGGACCTACCGATCTGCTATACGGATTCAGGCCGCTTCCATAGCCAAATACCTGTAACATGCTTTTCTCGCTTATAGGATAGGATTTGTTTATCAAAGTATCTTCTGAAAATTTCTCGGGCGAGGCTTTACTTTACCCCACCCCCAAGCCGGAAGCCGAATTTTTTTCGAGAATTCCGCTATTTTGTCGGGATATTGGCCATGCGATTGGATAGAGCATCAAAAAATATACCGAAAGATTTAATAACAGCTCAAAATAACGTAACTTAAAAAAATCATAGCGTAAAAATTTTGGGAACTTCCGGCGGGGAGGGGGATAAAGTAAAGACTTACCATTTTTCGCGCAATGGATATTCCAATTTTTTCGATTCAAAGAATCCTACCAGTTCGCCATGGTCACCTGCAGAAATAAACGCCTCTGCCCGGAACATAAAATCGTTCTTGAACCAGCGTATCGGCGTACATTCGAATTTATCTAAGCATCATCCTTGTTAATATCAAAAAGTTTCTACCGGATCTAAGAAAGCATTGGTAACTGACAACTGTTCCACTTCCAAGCAGGATCATTAAAACCTGGTCTTTGGGGTAATAGATTAAATCTACGGCGGACGAATGGCTAAACTAACGTCCAATAAGTCAAATTTATTAAACTAACCGATGCACTTGATACGTGTTGGAGGGGTGAACCGTGTTTGCATACCACCAGCAGGCTTTTTCGCCTATGAGGGTGTGCACAAATCCCTCGCTGAAAGTTATAAGCAAGTGGCGTCAATAGCAACGATGGCGGACATGTTGTGATGAGAACTACTGGGTGTCCCAAAAAAAAAGCCCCCCCCCTAGCGGTCCGGAGAAAGGTCGGATCGGAATGATTTTTATACCATTCGAAAGCGCTCGAAAAGGCTAGAAAACAAGCGGACTTGGTTTACGATTTATGCTCATGGGCACGATATTCAACGTTTTTTCTAAAAAACGGGTAGCTTTTCATTGGGAATATCGCAATTAGCATGCAAATCTCGCGAAAATCTGCCGTTTTCATCGTTTTTGGACATAAAATTCACGAACAAAAATACAAAATAAAGCCTTTTCGAGAGCTTCCAATAAATACTTAAACGGTAAAAATCGGACACGACTGCGGCGCTGGAGGGGGGTGTGGAGTCCTAATTTAGCTGTCGGTGTTCAATAGTATAATTCGTAGGAATCCACGGATTACGTTTAGGTTTATTGTTAGATATATAAATATTGGATATCGAAGAGAGGGATATATATGGTCAATTCGCTTGTACGACAAATCGCTAAACAACGCAAGGGGAGCCTAAGCGGGAAGGGCTGGCCGTTGCGTTTTAGCGGGTTGTCGAGGTTTGGTGAAGGGGGCCGGACCTCCCCGTTTCCACCCTTAAATACCCTTTTTATTGCTCCGCCCTCTCATGCTCCCTTTGGGTCGAGCTGGTCTCGACACTCCGGGGGCCGCGCAAGAGGAAGAAGCGTTAAAAAGTAATACCAAAGGGTGCGAAATGGGCTAATGGGTCAGATCGGAGAGAGAATAGAGATTACAATTTGAAAGAAATTGCGGTTCTAAGGACTAGGGGGTAGTTTAAGGGTTTTGTGAATATCATGAGAAAGTTAAGTTTGTTAAAACTAGTGGTAGGAAATAGGCAGGGGAGGTCTAGATAAAAACTGTGTTGGGAATAATAGGTTTTTGGTAGTAGAAGAGAAGGGTTTGTTAAGAACAACGGTACGAGAAAATTGTGGGTGTAAATCGTGGACTAGTTTTAAGTCGAAATGTGAAAGTTAGATAACAGCAAAAAAAATTTCAAGTGGGTGGAGTTAGAAAGGAAGATAAAGGCTTGGGCGGGTGATACGAAATTGGACCTTCGGGAAGAAGTTGAACTGGGCGAAGAGAACAAAGTTGGTGGCAGCATTGGAAGAGCAAATGGTGGGCGTACGCGGCAAATGTCGGTTGTGTGGCTGAGCGTTGAATCTAGGCTTAAATCGTGACGGAATGGACTAGAGTCCGAGTGAGTTTGAACTGAGCATGAGTGATGCGCTCAGAATGATTGTGAAGTCCAGAACTAGGCTGGTTTCACGAGTAAAAATTAAATGAAATTGAATTACTTGGCTACCGGTTGAGCGGGCAACGGGTTTGCTTGAAATCTGAGTGATAATGATTTCAGCTGATTGATCTGAATGATTGGTCAGTGATCCGAAGGAATCCGTTTGATGTCGGATAACGAATTAAACACTAGATTTTGCTGAGTTCCTTTGAAACTGATTTAATGCCACTGATATCTGACACTGTCAGATGACTGACATCAAGCATGAGCGTACCGGTAGGAACAAATAATAAATTGAATAGATTGATACTAAAATCGGTTGGGGCCGATAATAATGAATGACTTGGCTCCGGAAATTTAAATAAGGAGTTCAAGTTTCATAAGATGCAATTCCTAATATGGGTTAATGGTATTGGGCTAAATTTAGAAATCGGGTTAGATAAAGATGCTTAATTTTAAAAAAAAATTTTAGATGCCCGCTTGCCAAGCGTGGATCGTGTTGGGAAAATGAATTTTGGGATTGGGCTCTGGGTGCTGATCGGTGGGCGGGCTGATTGCTGGAGGGCACGGGCTGCTCGTGCTCACGGCTGCTTGGCGCTCGCCCAGGTCTAGCTAGGTGTGGGCTGCCTTGGCTGGCAGGGGGCGCTTGCCTAGAGGATGCCGCTAGGGAATAAATTATGGCCCAGCAACTGCCGGCTTGCCGGCTGCAAGCTGGCCAGCTTGGTTGTGGGCCCAATCGGGTGGGAAAGGAAAATCTGGGCTTTGGTGGAGGGGATCGAAAAATATTATCGGAGTTATGCTGGTGAGTAGAATGCCAGAACTAAGATGCAATTACTAACATATAGGGGAGAGTTGTTGATGCTCCTTACTTCAGTGTTCTGGCGCCGTGTCATCTTCCGATTCTTCTTCTGTGACTGAGGACCAGTCCTCGTCCGATTCCGGTTCTAAGCATTCGTCGGAATCCTCATCGCCGTTGCCATGGGTGGTGGCTTCGGTCTTATTCTTGTTATTTAGAATGCGGCCTGGAGTGGTTCCTCGATCTCGGCTTGTGGACCTTCGAAGTGGCGATTTGCTTTTGCGGGTTTTCGAAGCAATTTTAGGATCGAGGGGGCAGATAGATGGATGATGTCGAGTTGATCCGCAGCGGCAGGGTCGTTTTCGGCATTCATGTGGATTCTTCCGTGTACATACGAAGCACCGATCCTCTTGTCTAAGCAGTTTTCTTCGCATTTCGTTATCTGTGGTTTTCTCACAAAACAGGCTGAAATGGTCAGTGGCCTTGCAGTACACGCAAAATTTGGGCCGTTCTTGATTTCCGTTTCTTGCTGGGTTGTTTTGTGAGAATTGGCGAGAGCGGAAGCGTTCTTTTGTCTTGTGGCGGTTCGAGTCGAAGCTATTATTAAGCGCTAGCGTCGTCTCTTCCTCTCGGCCATGCTTCTCGGATACGAGCAAAAGGTGCTCTGCTTTCTCGATGCTGGTGCGGAGCGCTTCTAGGAATTGTGCTGTGTCCCAGTGGTCGTTTCCGTGTTCGGCTAGGTATATTTTCTTCTGGATATTCGTGGGGAATTTTTTCGTGATGCGATCCCTTGTCATTGGATCTATTTCCACCTCGCGTTGGCGGATTTCTTCTACTGTAGCGCGGATGCGGTCGTACGTTGAGCCCGCTTCTGAAGTGGTTTTAGCGGCTGGGATGATTTCCAATCTTTTAAACAGCGTTCGAACAAGTAGCTCCGGGTTGCCGAAACGCTGATTCAAAAGATCTAATGCAATTTGATAGTTCTCGGGTGTCAGTCGGAGTGGGCCTACGATGTTTTGAGCTCTGCCTTTGCAGCTAGTTTTAAGGTATGAGAACTTATCTAGGGCATTCAATTGTGCGTTGTCTCCAATGATGCGTTGGAATGTGGCGAGCCACGCTGTGTATTCGATCGGGTCTCCGTCGAATTCTGGAAGTTGAATTTCGGGTAGTCGAGGGGCGTTGGGAAGAGCTAGGCCTGGAGGGAAGATTACCGGTTGAGCGATTGCCGGCTCTTCGTGTGGTCTCTCATTTCTAGGATTGTTGTCGACCGGTGGCGGGCGGATATACTTGTCGTATGTATAAACCAGGGCTTCTAGGCTCTGATAAGCGTGGGTTAGCCAACGTATGACCCGTCGTCCTTCAGTCAGGATGCCTTGGTTTTCTTGCGTTTCTAGACGTTCCAACACGTTGACGAATCGCTCCTCGTCGGGATCCTCGTCGAGTCTGCTGATGCGGTTGATCTGCTCGTCTAATTGTTGCACAGCGCCTTCTAGGGCTCTTTTATGGGTATAGAGGGCCGGAAGACCGTCGATTGCCGTGGCCCTCTCTGCTTCGTTGACGATGGGTCCATGTAGAAATCGCACATCTATATCGTGAGGGCATTCGTCTCGGATTTGCTGGATTGTGTCACTCACGAATTGGAGCCGTCGTGCATATTCGCGCGTCTCAACGTTTCTGGAGGCGCGGGCGGGAGCGTTTGCCGCCATGATCTCGCAAGCATACAATTAGGCTACTGCTTACGATTTTTCGGAGTTCTGCTCCCTAAAGGTGGATAGGATAAGTCGCACAATTGAAAGCAAAGTCAAGTTTAAATTGTGGTTTTACGTTCAGTGGATTTGGTTCGAAAGGTAATTTTAAAGGGAAAGGTCGCCCGTTGAATGGGCAAAAACTATTTTTGTAATTTTAAAGGTTTTGTAAAGTTATATATATATAAAAAAAAAAAATGGTAGATAGCGAATAGAATATGATGCTGAATAGGTAGTGGTAGAATTGTCGGGTCGTAATGGCCGACGCACCAAAATGTGGAGTCCTAATTTAGCTGTCGGTGTTCAATAGTATAATTCGTAGGAATCCACGGATTACGTTTAGGTTTATTGTTAGATATATAAATATTGGATATCGAAGAGCGAGATATATATGGTCAATTCGCTTGTACGACAAATCGCTAAACAACGCAAGGGGAGCCTAAGCGGGAAGGGCTGGCCGTTGCGTTTTAGCGGGTTGTCGAGGTTTGGTGAAGGGGGCCGGACCTCCCCGTTTCAACCCTTAAATACCCTTTTTATTGCTCCGCCCTCTCATGCTCCCTTTGGGTCGAGCTGGTCTCGACAGGGGGTGCTTTTTTTGGGACGCCCTGTAGGCGCAACTTATAGTTTTTGAAACCTCGGCGAATTTTGTGTCACGGCTTCAATAGGAACCGAGGTAGACCGGCGCAAATTCAAATGGTCTTTGAGCGTAAATTCTAAGTATTACCGCCATGCCATCAACAGCACGAGTCCCTTCGGAGACGCAAGTTGGATCGACTTGATTTGCCTCAACCGCCGGCGATCCCCTTCGATAGGTAATCTGCAGTCCATGCCTCCGTTGAAACGCTGATCCCGGTACTGTAACTGCCCGGTTCAAAGCGATCTTTGAAAAAGGGTGCGGAATTCAAAAGGGCAAAGAACTGCAAAAAATTGCGTTACGGCCCGAAAAGCGGTGCCTTGTACGCCCGAAGCGTGAAAATTTGAAATTTCACATTTCCCGCGGCCAATTCCGGAAACACGTATTCGGCTCTTTCCGGCTCAAATTCCCTGATAAAAAGGCCAAAACTATTTAAAAAAAGGTTAGGTTTTCAGAAATAAGCTCAGGATCAGCGATTCGCAAGGAAATCGGATCAAAATTGTTTTTGAGCAAAATTCGGAAAGGCTATCGTCTGGTGGATGCTGGCAATCTTCGAGAAATTAAAGAGCCCTCCGAAAGCGGCTTTCATTTGACACTTCGGTGCTCCTTAGAGAAACATTCATCCCCCTATTTCATCGAATCGGCCCGACAGAGGCAAATGTCCCTTTAAAGCCCGCCAACCTTTTTCTGTTTCCAGAAACCCAATTCAGCTCGAAAAAATATCTATAAATACCTGAAATTCATAGTGGGTTGCAACTGCGGCCCAAGCCAACAAGCAAGGGTACTCCCGGGCGGCTTCATCGCTAAAAGTTGGCAAATTCAAGGGAAAAATTTGACCAACTCCGCAATGGTGCCATCAAAAGATTGAATAGTCGGCAGCGTGTAATTCAACCCGCGTTCATATTTCATTGGTGGTTGTTGCAGGAAATGTAGCCCGAAGGCTGAAAAGTCGGATGAAAAACGGATTCCGTTTTGGGCTCGCAAGCTACGCAAAAAATCTAGTCACCTTTGCCCTCCTTCCTCATCGGTGCCACGACACTGACCATTCCATTTTTTAGCAAGACCAAAAAGCTGCCTTGGCGCACATTGTAGTCGAGGACACGCTCAGCCAAAGTCGTCAAAGACCGGGGAATCTTTTACAATGAGCACGCCAAGATCAGGAGCATGGCTGAAAAGCAAATCCGCGATCAGTCCTTGCCAAGCAAGCGCGGCTTACCCGATAAGAGGTTTACCCCACAGAGGCTCGAAGGATGTCGGTGCCTATAATTGGGATAGGGCCGCTGGGTTTTGGACGTACCTTCAGAGAAGGCCCTGCCAAATCGATTATGCCAAATCCATCTTGTGGCTGGGGGTTACGTTTGGCGGGCTTGATCAGCGCGAGTCCACCAAATGTGCCCCCAATTGGCTGCAGGAATGTAAGTGTTTCGAAGGGAATTATCTGTACCTTGGCGGCCGCCCCTCGACAACTACATGAATGTATCCGGCCGACGCCCGGTGAAAACATCCTTACGAACAACAACTGATCCGCTTCAACTACGTATTGCAGCACGACTGCTGAAAAATGCGGCATTGATCGAAAATATACGAAACTGGGATTATCACTGTTTAAAACGGATGTAAAAAATACCTACCGTCAACCGTAACGAAGTAAGTCGCAACGGCATCAGAGACGGTATCTTTGGCCCTTTTCCAAAGAGAATGGCTGACGTGGCGATTCGGAACCGTGACGTTGGCCTCAGAATCGTAAATTTGTACATCGTGCATCTGCAAAAGGCTTAAATTTATCAAGAATGGCGCGGCGGCAACGTAAATTCTCTTACTTAAGCGGAATTTCTCAGAATGCGCGCCAAAAACGCACCACTCCACTTTCCACATTCAGATAGACAAGCCTATCCATCGTGGCTATCAGTAACTGATTCTTATAGAGCAGCATATCCCAGCCGTCGATCGACGCGGTGTTGGCCTAAAAGTGCAATTATTCCGATACTGTAAAAATCGACAAACCGGCCGCCAAGGGAAACTTTTCCGAGCTTTTGGGTTGATAGCTACATAAATTATTTCGTCCGAGCCCAGGACGTAAAAGGCAAAGCTGCCATCCGAAGTGGACGATATGTAAAACGTAACTCTTCGCCTGTAAATTGGATCGCAAATTAAAGCTAACAATTAACTCACGCGTTAAATAATGGAGGGTCAAGTTGTTTCGGGCTCGGATCCAGAAGATCGATTTGTAGTAGCTTATTGGGCGCGGCAAGCTGAAAACGGATTTGGATCTTTTGGCAATTTACCAACGTACCGTGAGCTTCGTCCCGTCGACGACGAAAGCGGCGTTGAGCGGAAATTCGCGTGATTTGTAGGAGTCCCGCGTGAATTGCTTGATTTTATTGCAGGGTATTGCATGGTCGCCGCTGAAAAATTGTGGATCCGAAACTTGTCCAATCCTTTGCAAAATGCTCTTCTAGCTTCTGCGCATACAAGAGCAAAAATATACCTCTCAAGGTTCGCAAAAATCGTTTCCAGCTTATCAAGTACTGTATATTTAAGGCAGCGCGATATTATGACAAGCTTAGGCTCTAAAATTTAATAAAACGGAACTTGATACTGTTGTCCTACCAGCTTTCGTTCCCCATTGGATTATCTGCGTAATCTCCTGGGAGTCATCGAAAATTTTAACCAGCTTTTGCCGCGAAACATTAGGCGGCAAGTTGTGGTCGTCCTCGGGTTTGTGGAATTCAATGAAGTGGCCGATCCCTTGAAGGACTTCAAATTTTCAGAAAAACCTACCAGATACGATATAGACGGCTCCGTTACTAAGCGCCAGGGGGCAAACGGCGGTCCTCGGCAACAGGCAGGGCGGGAATTTTTGAGAAGCCATGGATCTGAAATTTCTAGTTAGGGTAAGTAATTTATTCAACCAATAGTTCGCATATTTAAAAAGCTAGAAAAAAATTGGCCGTTACCCATTGTTTTTCATGAGACTAAAAATATAAAAATTATGTCACGCCAGCGTTTTCGAATAGCTAGCATAAAAATCGAATCTTTAGGAGCTGAACGCTTCACACTAAAGCTATAAAATTTGAAAAATAAACAATGAATATTCAGTCTAAGTGAAAATGAGTTTGCAGAACTTTCGCTTGGAAATATTTAAAGAACTATTTAATTAAAAAACTCAAAAATAAGAAAATTTGGAAGAAGCGTTCAAAGCACGGGTCGCGTATTTTGCGAGGGCCACGATTACGCGATCTAAACATCGACATAGACGATGGAAAAAGGGCTGGTCGGACTGCCCGGGGCGAGGCAAGGCCACAGCTGGCGAAAGGATTGGCAAGGGGTGAGATGGGGTAGGCCAGGTACCCTGACTCGTGAATGTTAAATACCGCGGAATGTAAAATGGCGGTTGTGAGAAGTTGGAAAGTCACGGAACGATGTAGTGGATCCTGAATATTTACACAAACGAGAAGGCTCCAAAACTACAGGGTGTCCAAAAAAATACCCCCCTCTAGGGGCGAAGCAAGCTCGTCGGGCTGATTTTTACTATTCGAAAGCTCTCGAAAGACGAGAAAACAAGCGGTTTTGTTTTTAAATTTCAGCTGATTTTATCGCCATTCAACGTTTTCAAGAAGTGGCTTAATTGTCACTGGTATTTCCAGTTTTTCATGTAAATCTTGCATAAATCAGTGGTTTTCATGGTTTTTGGATGTAAATGCCCAAATTAGACAGTCTCTCTGCCCTCTCTCTTCTCTCTCTCTCTCTCTCTCTCTCTCTCTCTCGCTCTCTCTTTCTCCCTCTCTCTCCCTCTCTCTCTCTCTCTCTTTCCTCTTTCCTCTCTTTCTCTCTCTCTCGACTCCTCGTGATATGACTGAAAACACGCCTCCGAAAGCTTCCTGATTTTTTGAACATCTCAAATACCTTTGATGCTCTCCGGGGAATGGCGTAATTATTGCTTCAAACTTGCCGAACGCACCCTGATCCCCTAAAAAGCCTCTACGAAAATTGGTAAAGGACGTAATTCGCAGTTTGTCCAGCAAGTACACGAACCTTAATTGAAGGGTTGTTATGCACGATTTTTTTCTCTTGAAACGGTTCGGTCTGTTCGCGGTCATTACTCATATTTCGGATAGTTGCGAGGTCTAATGCTATCCTTTTTTCTGATCTACTTATCTTACGGTATTCTATCGCTATTATTACTGGTGCTCTTAATTATTTGTATAATCCGAAACCGGACGGTTCTGTACAGCTCTTTTTACAAAGTTTATTTGCTAGTGCTAGTTGTGGTGAGGTTACGGCGCAGATTTTAAAGAATTTTATAAGCTATTTTTTTTTGTTTAGTACCTAGCCGCCTACCTGAACACTTATATAACCATCAAATTCCGTGAATTCGACTTCATGGCCGATATATACCCGGGAATTGAGCGGCGATTCGTCCCATTTCGATATTGCTACCTCTGGCAAACCGCGTCGTTCCATTGCCAAAATCTGACCGTGATTTTGCTGCATTTGAATAGATTCACCATTGTGTGGATGCCGGTGTACCATAAGCAGGTAAAAAGCAAAAGGTATAATCTTGAAATGCGATAGAGCGTCGAAAAATATGCAAAAAAATCAATTTCACCGCAAAAAAATGTAAGAGAAGTTTTTTATTGATAAAGAAAAATTGATCATAATCCATGGGCAGCACATAGCATCCCCTGAGGAAGCCAAATCTTCAAGATTTTTGATATTTTCAAAATTCAACAAAAGATTAAAAAACGAATCAAAAGAACCTCACGAAAATATACCAAGAGAATGGGTTTCGGGACCAAAAAATTAAATATAAAAGTTTTATACCGTAAAACTTTGTTCGGCACCGTGAATATTTTCGATATTCTGAAAAATCCATTTGAATACGTTATACTAAAAGCAATTTTCTAGGCCAAAAACCATAATTAAAAATTTTCTTATATGAAGAACTTTGAGTGCCGGCAGGTTATTTTATACCGATTATGCTGTGCAGTTACGATATTTTATCCGTACCGTAAAAGCCATCGTTGAGTATTTTCAGATCTGGTCAACCAAGAAAATCCTGGTCGCCGCCGTTCTCATCTTCTTTTTCGGTCACGCATTCTGCTATCAGATCCTTTTCGTATCCAATATTTTTGTGAAAGTGGGAAGTTATGCCACCGTCGATCCGGATACCTATTCTGTATGTTTACCTCACTTTTTCGCGAATCCGAGAACACAGTAATTGGACAGCCAAGATTTTGAAACCCATATATCATTAAAACAAGAAAAAAATCATATGAAGGCTGTGATTTAGCAAGTCGCCACCAGCACTTATATAATCCGACTGACCAGCCAGATCTATCCGCTTTTATCATTGACTATATGTGCCGGGACTCTTGTAAAAGTTGTGTATTTACGACACCGTCAAACTAGGTGCGCTTCCAAGTAAAGGCGGTAACCAATAGCTATATCTCTAGCAGCTCATTCTACCAAAACGTCAAAATGCATTTGATTTTGGTTTGCTTTGGAACGCTGGCTCCACAGATAGGATCGATGCTATTTCTGGTAGGATTCTTAGGTTCATTTAATCCGTTTTTTAGCTTTATCGTAGCAAATTGATACTCGATGCCGAAATGCAGACATTTTTGGTAGGTCAGGGATGGGAAATGGCTGGAAAAACACAATAGACTCTGCCTGTCAACTCCAGATCAATTTGGTTCTGGTTCGTTAGCGGAGGGAGGGGGGAATTATCGAATTTGATTGGGGGTGGCGTGTAGAGTTTCAGTCTTATTTTTGGGGGACTACATCATCGCAACCCAGTAGAGCAACAAAAAATATGCTTAGAATTTTATTCCAGGTCAAAGACCATAATTTAAGGAAGTTATAGCAAAGGCAAAAATAGCCCTAAAATCGGGTTGGTAAGCGATTTCCCGGGATTTTGATGATTTTCGACATTTTGTTAACGCTATTTCGCTAGAGCATCCAAAAATTTGCGAGGAGGTTTATATACGGCTCAAATAATGTAATTTGAGATAAGAGAAGCTAT